TATCGCTAATCCTCTGATCGCTGATTGCAGGTTTGACTATACAAAGATCTACTTAGCGGCCGAGGACAGCTTTCCAATCTAGGGAAGTTAGGCAACGCAACAACATCAACTGGAATGCCAAACTCTATCTTTAAAGTAACCCCTAAATGGATACGGTCGAGCCTACGGTTAAGGTACCTTAGCCCATTCCAGGTTGTTTGTGTGGCTTACTGACGTACTGGCTCACTGTGAGCCAGTACGTCAGTGAGCCAGTACGTCAGTGAGCCAGTACGTCAGTAAGCCAGTGAGCGGCTCACTGGCTGACTGGCTGACTGGCTTGGGGTAGTGGTATATAGCTTCGCTTCACCCCTACGTGCCGCAGGAAGAGCTTGCGCTGGGCATGTCAGGGTATTTTACGAAGTATCCGTATGTAACATCGCAGATTCGCTGCTGGTGACCTTGACCAATAGGGAAGCAGGCGCCCCACACTGAGACTCTCGGACAATTTTGACTGCTCAGAAGTCAGAACCACGTCCAGCATCGTGATGATGCAGGCACTTCGCACTCCATACAGCTCTCATTGACGTACTGCACTGCCCTGCTCTGCACCTCGCAAAATCCAAGCTTCATCCTTTCCACTCGACGACCTGGTCCCAAAAGTAATCTAAAGGAGCGACCCACTTAGTTACTGGATATTTTGGTCTAAGACGGAATCAGGTGCCCATGAAGCATCTCAATATTCACCTGGCTGGTCTTGTTACTTTGAGTGGATTAACTTCACTGAGGACCCAGGACGCAAAACTATAGACCGGAAGAATAGGAAAGAGAAAAGGTATACAATATAGCGCCAAGGAAAGAAACCGACTGAAAGAAATCTAAAGGTCAAGAGGCATAACGAGGGCCCTGCTGACACATACCACTCGCCAGAGCGTTCACTGAGTTTCTCAAAAAAATTCGCCAGAACAGAAAAAACTTCCTGATGCCGGGAGCAATTACTAAGTTCGGGCTTCTGTTCAAATTGGCAAAGCATCCTTGACAACATCGTCACGGTGGTCCATGGTCCATTGCAGGTTATAAAGATGATGACGTCTCCAAAAGCACCCAAGCTGGGGCTCGATGCTCGGGCTGCCGAACTCAAGGAGAAGCTGCTCAAAAGTCGGGCCCGGAATCAAAATCGCGACAATTCGGCGCCGCCAGCACCGCTCACAACTGACCCTGCCAAGGAAAGCACGAGCGCGCCTTCGTTGAGTAATGGCCCAGCGCCACCGACCCCTTTTCTTCCGCAGGACACTTCCAAAAAGGCTTCCGCACCTTCTATCCAAGCCGATGCCAGCGATATTGCGGCGTTGATTGCATCCCTCTCATCCCCTGCCGAAATCCCAGACCGAGGCATTGACGCACCAGATAAAAAAGAGCAGGATGCGCCAGGGCTAGCAAAGGTCGCCGCCACGCCGCAGACTGGACCAGTCAAAGAATCTGGAGATGAGGTCAAGACGCCCGTCGAACTTCCCCCGAAAGATCAGAATTCCCAGATCGGTAAACCAATCCAAAAGGCTGGGATAGAAGGCTCAACTTTCCCACTTAACAAATCATTGAGTCCCGCGAAAGCGCTATTAAAGACCGAGGTCGCCCAGACCCCCAATGGGGCCAAGAACCGCGAGGACCATCAAACAAGTCAAAACGACTCCAGCGAAAGCGCAAGCCAAACTGGTCATGGCTCGGTGACCGGGCTGGTATCTCCCGACGCAACTTTAACAAGGTTGCTAGGCCGCTACCCCGATCTTCGAGACTGGCTTGAGTTAACCGATTACTACAATGTGGAGGTCCGAACTCGTCGGTTGGGCCGATTCCGGAAGGTCAAGGCCCTTGCTGCTCAGAAGTTGAAAATCGAGGAAGAAGAGAGAAGGCTCATGGAGGAGGAAGCGCTTGAGATGGGCCTGCAAAGGCCTACCATCACGCGACTTCCTAGCTCAGTACCGACACGAGCAGGCTCTTGCGACCTTATTGAGAATGGCATCGAGTCCCACGGCCCTCCTCAAAACGGATCTCGTTTAGGGCCGGAGTCGACAATTTCAAGGCCGCCACAACCGTCAGCCACGTCTCCATTGACGAACCCGGTCAAAGGAAAACCTGCGATGGCTCCCGTAAAGAGGGCGCACGACGAGAACAACGACGAAAGCCGCCATGCGAAGACGCCGCGTTTGGCTGTAGGGCCTTCTCCTGTAGAGCGTGCCGACAGCAAATCGCTCAAGGACGACCGGCGAGAATCACGCCCAGATCCGCGTCTAACGCCTCGTTCAGGACGGATTAGTCCACCTCGGCGGTCACATTCGCCTCCTTCACGTCCTCGAGACCGCTACAGGAGCCCTCCTTATCGACCACGCGACCAATCGCCCCAGCGGCAATCTCGGACAGGCGTGTACCGCGATTACGACGACTTTGACGACCGCCCTCGGAGGTATGATAGCTTTAGGGGCGAAGGAGCCCACTCAACTTACCTTCCACGCCGCAGGGATTCGGTACTCCCAGCCCACATTAACTTGGGCCGTAATGGGGGTAAATAGTCATCTCACATGCCCCAGTATTGGGCCGTGGGCTTATTATCGTCTGCAGACACTCGTTTCTTCATCATAAAGTCCTTTAATGAAGACAATATCCGGAAGTGTATGGAAGATGTAGGTGCAACCTAATGCGCCGTCCCCAGCCGAGCGCTCTCTGAGGACTTGGATCTCCAGAGCTTTGAGCAAAAAACTAAGTGGTTCGCAGAGCATCTGGATCACCCAGGTCCAGAACGGAGATACTCTCAGCCAAGCTTTTTCAAAGTGCAAGAATGTAATCCTCTTCTTTTCTGTCAATAAAAGCAGAGCATTCCAAGGATATGTAAGTTCACGTTCACCTCTTTCCTCCCTCGCCATCCACTACTTCCCAAAGTTGCCTTCCGTATTCATGCTTCGCTCTGAAACATACCGCCTTTGCCATTCGCTCTCTGGTACCTCTTGATTCGAAAACTGTCATTTCCTTTTTCTCACACCCTCTGGCATTTCGTTCAAGGCACGAATGGCCTCTGCACCGTCTCCGGAAACACCCCGCCCCAGCTGGGCGGGCGGAATACACTGGGACACGAGCCACCCGTTCCGTGTGCAGTGGCTCAGCAAGACTGCGGTCGAATTTTACCTTATTGGGCATCTAAAAAACGCCTACAACGACCATCTCCCCGTGCTGGTCGGCAAGGACGGGCAGGAGATTGAGGAGGAGTGCGGCGCCGAGCTTCTTCGCGAAATGGAGGCCATTGCTGAAAAGAGAGGGTTTGATCGTGGGAGCGGATACACCAACTGAGAAGCGACGAGGGTTCATGATCGGAGGTAATGAAGGGCAAGTCAAAAAGTGGCTTGATCAGGATGGAATACGCCTTATATATGTGTAGAAAATTGATTGATAGTGCACGAGCACTAGCACTCAAGGTGGCTAGATTTCACGCCGCTGTTTCGGTACCCGCTCAGTCTCTCCAAATCATCATCCACCTTGGCAATACAACGCCCATCGCCGCCTGCGTTGCTGGCTGGAACGGTGGGTTGTTGTTGAGCTTGGGAGTTACGGTGCGGCTTTCCATAACCCCTGGTGAGACCCTGATCGTCAACAATCCACCGTTTGGACAAGCCTAAGATACACACGGTTCTTGCGCTTTGGCATGGTTTAGGCCCTATCCTAAACATTGGACGACGTATTAGTAGAGGCTGATTGCTGATAACTCTCAAGTGGTTCAAGAGGCTCTAGCGAGTGTTGACATTCTGCAAAAACACAGACGCTAACTCGGTCGCGACACTAAATAGGATCATGCACACCACTACCCCTGGCTTCGGCCACATGGACGCGCAAAGACCCCTGGACATTTGTGTGGTCTCGAAAGACACTTTTGACCAGGCAATGAGAATACTTCTTTTCTTAAACTTGCGTCTTCCTCCTTGCAGTTTCGCGGATCCTTAACCCCAATTTTTCCCACCTTCCGGCCTTGGCTCAGTTTGTCGCACACGTCTTGTGAATTATGAGGTGGAGGACTGAGAGAGGCGGGGCTTCCAAGCCCGTGAGGGATGTATCCGCAGGGTCGTCCGGCCTTGCCCGGCTCCAAATGCCGACAAACCGGCTCACGGCGTTCCAGCTCTTTTACATACTGATCCTTGACGGCGTCGGCGCCATGATGATCTCGGCCGGCATCAACTTTGCCGCAGCCTACGGTGAGTTCGCTCCGCCGTCAGCCCCCGGTAACCTTCTATCCCCCACAGATACTAAGATTTGATCCGGTGATCCAGCCATGTACACGCATAACTGGGAGTCGGATCCCACTTACGGTACCGGCTCTCCTCCGCTCTTCCTCTTTTCGTTGCCAACCTCCTTGGTCGGGGACGCAGCCATCACCACCATCATCCAGTGCATCCTCACCTGGCTGATCCCTCTTGTCCTCGTCAACCTGGACCTGGCACAGGGGAGGGTGGCCCCGATAGGCTTCGTCCCTGAACCAACGTCGCGATGGGTGAGGTGTCTTTTTCTGCTGGACCAGCACCAGCGCGAACCCAACGGCGAGCGCAAGCGCCGGGGGCAGCAAGATCATCGCCCAGACGACCCGGAGGTCAACCCCGACGAGGAAACCGAACTAACCGCCCGCCACCCCACTGACCACAACACTGCCAACAGCGGTACCAAGCAGCAGGGGATAAGCGTCATCACCACCACCGCCGTCTGCGCATCCTCCCCTTTTCGGTCTCCATCCCCGTCCTCTCCCTCACGCTCCCCGCAATCACCGGACTCCAACCACAACAAGAACAAGACGATCAGCAACCGCCACCACAACAGCAACAACCTCCTGAGAACCTTGTGCAGCACCCTCGCACTAGCAGGCTATCCGCGCGGGGCGGGAGTAACGGGACTGGCGTGGTTTGTACTGGGCCAGCTCGGACGGGGCTTGCTGCTGGCGGTGGGGGCGTTTGGGGTGCTGATAGGGCCGACGATCGGGGTGCTAGCGGCGACGGGGACGCGGTACGGCGGCGACTGGGTGTTCCCAGGGGCGTGGGCGGGCCCCGTGTTCAAGCTGGTCTACGGCGGCGTGTTGGGTCTGCTGACGTCGCCCGCCGTCGCGCTGTTTTGGATGGTCAGGGCCGGGTGGCTTGCCAATCGTATTCGTCGAGACTGTGGAGGTGTTCTTCGAGAACCATGAATCAATTCCTTTTTAAATTATGATATCAATTTGTTGCTCTGTTCTCTGTCCCGTTGCTTTTCTGTGAACTATGGGGTAAGGGGCGGGCGGAGGGCGTGGGATTAGGGGTATTCCCGAGGTTGACTATGCAACCGAGAGATTTGACGCATCGCTATGGGCACGACACCTGGGAGACAGCACAAAGAACAGAGAACTGGGGCATTAGATCAGTTAAGTAATGATAACATCGCCGCAACGCGATTCTACGCCCTTGAGTCTAGGCGGGTGGTAGAAAAGAAGCGAAGAGGGCCCCTTGAATCGAAGCATAAACCACCATGAATATGACAAAGCGGCTTTTTGATCTGTCTTGGCGAATGAGGCCTTCGGCAATCCACCAGTACCACAATGGATATCCGGACGAAATCCGGGTAATGATCTGAACGTGGTACGTGGTCGCCGCGAGCACAGCCAGCAATAGCTGTGCGGCCGCGGCAGATCGGACCAGGGACAAGAATCGAGCCGACTCGGCCGGCTGTATGGCATGAGGTCGTCGCTGTACCGTAGTCAAATGCTCCACACCGGACCTGATGAGAACGAACAGCATGGGAGCGGCAAGCAAGAATAATGGCAGGTTCGATGGGGTCCAGTAGCGAAGAAATCCGGTATTCCTGTCGCCGGTCTCGTCAGCAGACGCCTCTCAGAAAGTCGCCGATGAGTGGAAATTCTTCACCAATAGTGTTGCTGCACGAAAGTGTAGATGCTTGGCAGGTATCCGAGGCACCATGGCCTCAGCTGGGCACCGGATACGCCGGAGCAGAAGCGAAGAAGTGCTATTGCTTGGGGCACGACAGATCCAGCAGCCACGCAGACTCCACCGAGACCAAGCGCTGCCAGACGACGCACCGTATCCCAAGGACGTAGGTGAAGTCTCGGTAGGTGGCGAAACGCTTCCCAAGCAAACGGGATTCCGTTCAAGATGCCGTTACTACGGAAGACTGTGGCCAGTCCAAAGAGCATCCCGGCCAGGACAGTGTAGATGTCGCGCCATGTCTGGCGGCGCTCGTCCTTGCAGCTCAAGGCAAAGAACAAGTGCCCGGAGAACGACAGCAGCGCAAAGGAGCTCTCAGCATACGGGGCGGACAGGAAGAGCCCGGCAGGAGACAAGATGTGCAGGATGGCGGCCACCAAAGAGAGAGTGCGGTCACGCCAGACTAGTCGACCAAGGTGGTAAAGCACGAGGGTCGACAGCAGATGAGCCGTGTTGGCAATGAGTATGCCGGCAAGGGCTTCTGGAACGCGAACGCTTCCTCCCGCCCCGGCAGCGAACGGTATTCCGAGAAGCCCGAGGCCTGGTGACCATTAGGCAATGGGGCCAACGGGTCAGTGTTGGGCAACCAGACGAAAAGAGTTACTTAGATTTTGGACAGCTGATGAACATGGCCGGTTCATCCTGATAAACTCACCTTTGAGTAAGGCCCTGATGGCAAGAGGAAGACCGGCACCAAACGCCCAGTCCTGCTCAAAGCGGTATCCCCTGTGGGCGATGCTGACAAAGTAGATGGCATCCCAACTTGCCAACCGGGCGACTAAGCCGGCTTTCTCACCATCACCACCATGGATGAATAACCCGGCTGAGGTATCATATGGGTCGCCTACGAGACTGCTGCCGAATACAACGGCAAAGAGGAAGAGCTTCCAAGCCACAAATGCGCCAAGTAACGCACGGTAGGCGCTGCCATTGACCAGGTTCGGCAAGGGCATGGTGTGAGAAAATGGTAATGTTAACGGATTCGAAGCCGCAACGTCGGACACATGGGGAGATGATATGGTAAGGGTGTTGCTAAGGATTTGATGTGCTGGGCCGTTTTTGAGTCTTGTTTGGGATTTGGATCCAACGCGGAAAGGGGAATTGACAGTCCACAACTTGGGTTGGCAGGAAGGAGCTTGGCGCTCTTCAAAAGCCACTGCAACGTTATTGTTACCAGCACTCACACTGGCAGCTGTATGTACTGTAGAGTACAGTACGATACATACATACGGGCTCTTACTGGTATTGAAGTTGAAGCGGGTCAAGGTAACCGGAACCTGGAATCTGGTGTGTCAAGCCTTCCGGTTCACATGCAAAAAGAGTCCCACAATAGGGCTATCAACCTGGAAGCTGTGAAAGGCGGTCACGATCGGATTCAAGGGATTGGCACTCATCCCTCGACAGATTGGTCATCTATACATGTATGTATAATGGTTGGGACAGGAATCGATCCTCAACCTGCATTTTGAAACTAGCAAAACAGAACAAGCTGTGTTTCAACTTGGAGCATATCGGGATATCGGTGTTCGTTCGTCCGACTCCAGGACATGGTCTGAAGGCGAGAAGGTGCCGAAGTCATGGTGCCAAGATCATAATCTGTGATGATTATAGTTTAGCGGCCGAGATGTCCGCGCCGCCTTGGTGATGATTCGATTCTCTCGGGATTTTGAGTGCTGAGAAGCTTTTCGGTGAATTTCTGGCCTCGGTTGGCCCACAAGGCAAGCCTCATCCCGCGCCGCCTCCAACATGCTATTTTGTTCTGTGTGTTGCACAGCTCCGCGATGTGTTGTAATTAGTACTTGTGGCAGTACTGGCTTCCAAACTTGTTATCGAGTCCTTCGCTGACTCCATTACCGCTTCAGCGCGCCACCTTTGAGGCAATGCAAAAACATAGTTGATGCCGCTTCAATCAACAAAGTAATTGTCGATGTCGTCGTAGTAATGTTATAGTAGGTACAGTACGAAGTACCTCCGTATGTAAGTACGTAAGTTACATTCGGATTCCACTAATCGTCAGTAACGGTAATTACCTCCGTACCGCACCCGGATAATGGACCAGTGGACCCAAAGAGCCCAGCTCCCGGGATCTGCCGTCTGGGGTCTGCCTGCGACCCATCCACGCGACCGACCCACCAATGCAGCACCCGCCTCGCTCGGATTCACGAGCAATCCGTCTCCGGCGGGGTGCAATTGGCCTGGCCTCCCATCCCTTGTGATGTACATACTCCGTAGCAATGGAGCTGATGTCAGGGTGGGTATTTAATGAAATCTATCAATCCCCTCTCCTGACCGCTGCTGGATGTTGGATGTTCATCTTCCGTGAGAATAGCTTTGAACTTAACTCCTGTTCTACTCTGATATTGTACAATTTCCCAACGTCGCATATTTATTTACCTTAGGTTCTGCATCAGGCTCGCATTAGTCCTCGGGCTGGTCGACGACGACACGCGACGTCAATTAGCTGCGTGAGGGCGGTCCCATGCATCTCGGATGATCCATGGCAGCCATCGTAGCTGCCAAATGCTGCAGCCTCAGCAGCATCTTTCGTCACCATCACCAAATATTCTCCAATTCTCCTAGCAGCGCGAAGCTGCAGGCCAGCTTTGCTTTGCTGCAAAGAGAAGCCGACTGTGACGTTGGAGCCTGGGAGGATCTTGGCTTGACCTCCCGGCGAAGAAGAGCGTCGTCAGCTCCAGTGATCGAGGACGACTTGAAGTTCCAAACTTGACTCTCTTGCGAGGCTGGACCTTGCGTGTTTTCTCCCTGACTTTAAACACTTCAGAACTGTTCGACATCATGTTTCTCCATTCAGGCGCGAGCCTTCACGGCCACGAATACTCAAGCCGATCCTCCTCTACTCTGCAAGCCTCCCCGAACCTTCGGACTCCCCTCTTGCGCTCGGCCTTTGCGCCCCCAAAGCAACGAGTACGCGCTGTCGACGGCGCAACGCCCCCTGTTCTCCGACGGCGACCAGCATCAGACTACATCCCGCGTGAGCCATCACCTGTTGTCCACTTTCAGGAGCCTCTGGATGATGATGGGCTGCCTTCCAGCCCGTCACCCCCAGTGCACGATGACGCTGTTTCCGACTCTGAGCTCAGCGATGCGACTCTCTCGCTCGACAGTGCCCTAGTTGCAGAACCTACTACACGTCCTCGGCGGCGACGTCGGGCCCAGCACATAAGCACCACTTACTGCCTTGGGTATCCAGCTCCCAGGATAATCCCCAAGACCAAGGTCATGGAAAAGGTCTTCCTGCCAAGACTGTTGCTGCAGCTTCAGAGGATATCAGAGGATGGTCGGTCGCAGCCCGTCCTCGAAGTTTTCCCGGCGTCGCGGATCGCCGGGCCTGTGGTGGCGCCACGTTTGGCAAAGCGGTTTCCAACCATATTCGGGATAAAGCGTCATCTTGGGTACGACGACCTAGTGCTGGTGAGAAGAGATGACCATGATGTAGTTGGCGACGGTACCGAGAGTGAAAGCGATGAGAGCCTGGAGAGAAGGAGGTTGCTGGCCGTATACAGTCCATTGAAGCACTCGGATGAGGCCGAGATCGTGCTCGATGACGGATCTGTATGGGTTGCGAAGCCGCTGGCGAGTGGGTCTTACGACTTTGTCTACACAGATGCAAGAGGAACCACTACAACGGCACGCTGGGCTAAGAGGCGCACTCCAGCCGTATCCCCGACTTGTATCTCCACCGAGACATCTACTCTGTCAGCCGCAGGGCCCCAGATTCGTTACACCTTTAGCATCATCAACCCCCTAACCCGGCGCCATCCGGTCATGGCAACCCTGACACCTTCCACTCTCGATGTCCGGGACACCTTCACGCTCGTTTCTGCCTCCCATGGCCGACATCCGCCCATCACGAGACCGGGCCGATCACTTCCAATGGCTTCATCCTCTGCTCTTCTAGCCGGTAACACTCCGGATTCCGCCTCCAGACCAGCCTCCCTCGGTACCGGAGACTTGGGAAGTGGATCGGCAATCGACGCACTTTCAACCTCGGACCTAGAACCTAGCGGCAGAAAAACGCATCAAGTCGACGACGCTACAAAGATGCTCATCTCGGTAACCGCGCTCTGGGTAGCCCTCCGTTCGGGCTGGTCCCAAAACTACGCCCCATCCAAGAGCAGCAGCAGCGTTGGCAGCAGCAGCCACGAAATCGCCGCATTGGCCACGGCAGCAACTCTCAGCACAGGGCGGCCGAACCGCGGCCGCAGAAACACCTGGACCACGCGCAGCCAGTCGCCTTCAATATTAGAATGCCCAGGGGCGGCAGCCGAATCTGCCGTTTGTGGTAGCCCACTACGCCCGGGAGTGAGGAAGCGCTACTCGTTGCCCTTGCAGCCGTACCCCCAGCCGTCCATCGACAAGGACAAGGACGGCCCGACGGATCCAGACAGCAGCTCCCACGCTTCGACACCCCTCTCGACCGTCCTAGCGAGCCACCATCACCACCACCACAACAACAACACTCCCATCACTACCCGCCCGCGCAGAGCCACAAGCACAGGCGCCTCGTTTATGCAGCGGCACCTTCAGCAGTCTTCTCTGTCCTCGGAGACCGCTCCTCTTCCTCCCCGCCCCTCCTCAGAAATGGGCCGACGCACCGCGGGCGATTACGGAGGAGATATCCGGACCCTTGGTCATTCGCAGACACAGCAGGCCCTGCCCGCCTCGGTAGTACCACCACAGATACTACCGGCTGCCGCGTCGACAACAACGACAGCGACAACAGCGACAACAGACAAGGAAACCCAGTCGGGTTTCGCCTCCGCTTGTAATACCAGCGTACCGAGAGAAGGGTTGACATTGGAAAAAGGGAGAAACGCCAGTCTGAAGGAAAGAGCGTCGGCGTTGTGGGCTGCAGGGGAAAGGGGGAGAGAAAGGGAAGGAGACGGGAGTGGCCGTAGTCCTGCTGGTGTGAAAAGGGGTGGTGTTCGGTCGAGGCTGGCTAGGTGGGTTCAAAAGCTAGTGTAGGCACTTATCGTTCTCGTCCGGGCCTTCGACGTCACGCTCTCTTACGTGAAATTCAGAGGTGAGAGAAGATTGGAAGCACATGATTGTTTGGGTGTATTGTACAAGTACAATACTTGTGCATGTAAGGCCGGGCAGTCTGGTGAACAAGGTACCTAGCTTAGCTGCTTAGGTCTAGATGCTGGATAACAATGCCTATTGGCTCTACATTGGAGAAACCAGTGTCACACTACTTGAGGGTGGCTATTATTGCTGTTGGTACTCTTATGTATCACACACACGATGCGGTGGTGTGGAGCTGTCTCCTCCACACCGCAAACACTGGTTCCACAGAAGTGTGCGCAATTTTCTCGAAGCCCCAACCATCAACAAAGCCCTCCACACCGCACACACGGTTCCACAAAAGTCTCTGCATCTTTGCCAAACCTACAAGCATCAGGCAAGATGGCCGAGCGGTCCAAGGCGCCACGTTAAGGTTTCAGCCTTGATCATCCTCCTCCTGGGAGTTCCGTGGTCTCGAAAGGGGCGTGAGTTCGAATCTCACTCTTGTCAGCTTATCTTTTGGTTCAGCTTATACGTTGCTGTCCTCTTTTTGTTCTGGTCTTGTTGATGGGATGCCGTGGCCGTTTGCTGCCTTGCTTCTTCGCATCCTGGCACCGCTCGGCAGCTCAATCCAGGATAATCTCGACGTCATACTCCTTTGACGCATCCAAGGTATACTGGGGCAGCGTCTCGGGCCCGCAGGATCCCGTCCCCAAGCCGTGATGCATCCAGTCGAGGTGCACAACGCGATCCTTTCTTCTTCGGTCATGCAGCTCGAAGGGGTGCTGGCTCTTATCCAGGTCCTCGGCAGAATATGGCAGCACAGAGAAGCTAGCACCCTCGAAATCCCCATGTCGTGCTCGAAGCAATCGCACAGCATTTCCTCCCGGAGACGGCGGGGCGTTCAGAAATTCAACCCACCGGGTATCTGTCCTGTTTCCGTTCTCCTGCGGAAACTCGTAGTCTGTAACTAGCATCTCGGCGGGGAGATACCAACGGCCCACAAGCTGGCTCAATTTCTTGTCTCGATAACTTTCGTGGGGTCCACGTCCGAACCACCGGACGCCCTCACAGCCCGCGATGGCCGTCACCAAGCCAAAGCGGCCCCATGCCCGAGGCAGTAGGTGTCCAGTGGGCTTCGCATGAGCTCGGATGGAGACGTATTTGCTCGTAAACCGATACGTGGCGGTGATTTCGAGCGCCCAGTTCATAACAGGCGGGGCGATCCGGCTCCTCACGACAATTTCGACGACGCCGTTCTCTCTCTGTTCCCACGACGACTGGATGAGATGATTTTTGGCTTGGTGAAGTCGGCGGTCTATCCAGTTCCTGCCGAAATCGCAGCCGCGGTCATTGTCGGTTTGGGCACGATATACGTCGAAGCGCAGTGGCTCAGTGAGGATGTTGGACGAACCGCCGCCCACATTTGCGTCTGCGCGCTCCCAGCTGACGAGACCACCCAAAGCGAGGTCAAACTTCCACGACACCTCGTGCCCAACAATCTGTAATGTGTTCTCCACCAGGGCTACTCGGGGCCGCAGAGCAGGGTCGCCAATGCTGCACAACCGTCGCAGGCTGAGGGGTTTCTCAAGCTGGATCTGGCCAGTGGCCACGATATGACCCGGAGGGCACCAGACGGTCTCTTGTGCACTCATGAAGTATAGATTTAGGTGCGAATCCGCCAAGTGGTGTTGGCGAAGCTCCGGCAGATGTAGAAGAGCCTCGGTATGAGGCTTGATACCTATCAGGTCGTAAGAGAAAATCACTGAAAGAGCCATATATGGACCTACCCTTTGGTATTTTCACCAGCTGTGGCGCAGTACTCTTTCCCGGCTCATCTGAGATGATTGACCACCAGCACTCCAGGTGGTCGAGGCTGACATAATCGTAGCGATTCACGATGCGGACTTTATCTCCATCTTCGACGGCAAGCGTCTGGACGGGCTCAATAGCCTTTTTGTACTCGAGGAGACCCGACCCGGGTGAGTGATTTGAAAAACAGAGCCCATCCATTACGAAGTTGTAGTCGTTTGGTTCATCCCCAAAGTCGCCTCCATACCCCATATACTCTCTTCCGTCTTTCGTCTTGGTCCTTAGGCCCTGTGTTTGTCACGCGTCAGCCTTCACAACAGCCGGAGGTATCAGCTCGGAATTACATGATTTGCCCACTCCCACACGAAACCGCCCATCAGTCGGGGATACTGGTAAAACAGCTCAACGTACTCCCGGATCGCTCCAGGACCGTTCCCCATCGCGTGAACATACTCGCAAAGGAGGACCGGTTTGTCCCAGGACCGTTCCTTTGCGTAGTTCTCCATGTCATGGACAGAGTGATACATCCTGCTGATGATGTCTGCAGACTGCGCCATCCAATCGCCTTCATAATGGACCAGGCGACTCTGATCGACGCTCCTGATGAACTTGTACATCGCGGCATGGTTCCGACCATAGCCGGATTCGTTGCCGAGTGACCAAAGAATAATGCTTGGACGGTTGAAGTCGCGCATGACCATTTGCCGCGCGCGATCGATGTATGCCTCTTCCCATTCGGGGTTGTCCGAAGCGAATCCAAGCCCGTTACCTCCAACAACAAAAAGCCCATGGCACTCTAGATCGCTGAGCCATCTTGTCAGTAGTGTTTCTGAAGCCCTGGGTCGCAACAAGGGCGTACCACTCGTCCAAGATCCACAACCCCAGCTCATCGGCCAGCTCATACAATCTAGGATCGTTGATGTAATGAGAGGTTCTAATGGCGTTGATATTGTGCTGTTTCATCAGTTTCAGATCCCTTCTGAGAAATTCGTACGGCACAGCCCGTCCTCGATCTGGATGGTGTTCGTGTCTGTTGACTCCTCTCAACTTGACCGGTCTGCCGTTCACACTGAATACGCCGTCGAGAAGCTCAACCCGGCGGAAGCCTACCCTCTCGGCCAGCGAGCAGCCTGGCATCACAAGCAGCAACTTGTAAAGATAAGGCGTCTCAGCGGTCCATTTGTGCGGATTTTGGACGGGGATTTCGAAGACGATTGATCCCCCCCCTGTCTTCGTTTTACGAACCAACTCCTTTCCATCAGCGTCGAAAAGCTTCAATGTGACATTGGCGCTAGAGTTGAGCTTAACCTGGACATGTAAGATCGCATTTCGATACTCGTCATCCAGGATGGTATGAACATGGAAATCCTCAAAGTGCGTTTTTGGGAACTTGTGCAGCAGAACATCTCGAAAAATCCCACTGAGCCACCATTGGTCCTGCAAAAGTGAGCTTATACGAAGCAAAACGGTTGGATACCGAAATGCGAACCTGGTCCTCTATGTAGCTTCCATCACAACGCTGATATACCTCGACGTGGAGGTGGTTAGGGCCGTCAAAGCGCACGAATCGGGTGATGTCGAACTCGCTTGGGTTCCTGGATCCCTGAGAATAGCCAACTTCACGATGGTTCACCCACACGGTAAAGGCAGAATCGACTCCTTCAAAGCGTAGCCTCAATTGGTGACGCCTGTTTTCATCTTCATCGCCGAGGTAGAACGTCGTTACATAGCGACCGCATTCATTGTCATCGATTGGCACCCGCGGCGGGTCGACGGGAAAGGGATAATTGATGTTGGTATAGTGAGGTCCTCTGCCGTGGCCCTGCAGCTGCCACATGCCCGGAACAGCGATGGGCCGCCAGCCCCAGCGGTGCGAAGATGCCAGGTCCACCAAGGTGTGCTGGTGGAAGTCGGTGGGACCGTCGAACGGAGACTTGGAAAGGTGAAACAACCAGGTTCCGGAGAGGAGCTGGCTCTTTGAGCGGGACACATCGCGCGACAAGGCATCGTCTGGGTTCTCATACAGAAAGAAGTGGGCTCTGGGCGGTAATGTGTTCCGATGGATGACTTTGAGGTTGTTCCAGTCCGGGACCGCCCCCGGAAAAACATGGATGTTTCCCTGGGGATGATCGGAAGCGCCTACTCCTTCAGACATTGGGATAATTACAATTGCACTGGCAAAGTGGACAGGAAGTTGAAAGATGTGCGATTCACACGTGTAGAGGAACGGAGGAAAGGGTCACCTGAACCTTGAATTCAAGTTCGGGCGCAACCCCGCAACGGTGCAGCAAAGTGCGAGGTAGCTAACATCACAGGGTTAGGGTTGTATTTGCCTATATTTTTTTTCACCAAGTATTCGTACATGCTGTTGACTGTTCTTCCCCAAACAATTGTGCAGATGAATAACTTCCAACATCCACTTGACCTTCGAGCCGATCATAATACCTGCTCTGTCATCATAGTATAAGCTGTCTTCTCTTGCAATAAGTTAGGGCTTACCTTCCTTAGTCTCAGACAACGGGGTTCGTCATTGGAGGTGTTCTCCGTGACAGCAGGGGATGATGCATAATTGCATATGCCCGCGCTGGCATTGACGTCTCTACGAGCTGAAAAGCGACGGTTGATTCAAAGAGGCATCTCGTTGGCTAGTAACTACAGAGCAACAACGCATCCGGCAATCACGCTCTTTTCTCGGCATAGTCTTGACATGTTGACGTTAAAAGTCATGCTTTCCTTGCCCGCGATGGGCGTGCGGTCTAAGGTGTTGAGAGTAGCAGCGAAGACAGCACCTCTACACGAGAGGCGAGGCAAGGTTGGTACGGCACAGAGAAAAGGAGAAATGGTTACGTAGGTAAGTTATTTTTCGTAGCACGTCTTTTCTGGCGTTGCTGGGCATACCAGTACATTCCATTGACTAGATTTCTGGTGGCTATTCCCATTTGTCTTAAGCCCGGCGCTTCTGAAGTCGCTACATATTTTAGGTTCATATGGTATTTCGCCTTCATGACCATGACTGTCTTAAGGGTGAAGCGGCGAATATTAGGTCCATTGTTGGCCGTGAGGCACCACAACTCACCTTTCCTCCATACCTCCTCCTCTTGTACATCTCGAACAGTCCCTGAGAGGGCCAATCGACTTTCCTTATCTCGCCTGTCAAGACCCCAATCCTAAGCTCCTCCGCCCACTTGTTCGCATCAGACTTCTCCGCCGTCTCCAAGCCCAAGTCCCTCGCCCTCTGCTGGATCAGGATCCTTACAAGCACTCGTCTTTTACCAAAGCATCCTGTGCTGTGCTGGGCCACCCACAGGCGCGATCTGCGATGCGCGTCTTCCTCCGCGCAAGCCCCCCAGCCCGAAGCCGTGATGCCCTCGATCTCTGCCAAGGCGAACCGAGCCCTGTTAAGGCGGGCGTCAATATAGGCCATGCACTCCAGCTGCTCGAGCCGGTCAAGTGCTGCTTCTTTGGTTGGCGGCTTACCTCGTTCCACCTCGGCGACATACTCGCTATGCAGGATCGGGAGCGCGGTAGATTGCGCACGACGAGCTAGCATAGGATATTTTTCCCGCTCCTTATGCCAATACGGCTTGATGGACGGCCACCAATTGGGAGTAACTGCCAGTCTGCTTGCAGTTGCCTCCGTGTGAGCAAGGTAGACGGTTAGGTGCTTGTGGAGTTCGAAAGCGGTCGAATTCATGTGCTTGACTAGCTGGCAGTGGAGAAGGAGGGTGAGAGGGCCGGTGTACTCAGAGGAAGAGGTGGTGATCACCTCTTGCTTAGGCGGTCTGTGTCGGGTTTGGTGAGTGGGGAGGCAGTAGGAAAGCATTTCGGCTGTCAGTGGCTATGGTGTTGATGAGTCTGAAAGCTTCAGTCAGTTTGTCCTCCGGTTCCTGTAGCCTTCCTCGATAGCCAGATCTTTGCATGTGCTAGGAAGCTGGAATTCCAACAAAGGATCGAGGGAGCAGGTCGGTAGGTATTTATTATATTTATTTCCGACCTCAGAACCTACCAGTGGTCCCGAGTAGTTCTCTTGTCTCAGTCCTTGCCGAACTTTGAACAAGTACATTAGTAATTGTTGGAGTTCATAGAAAGAGAATTGTTCGTGTATGTACCTGTTACAGATATTGCCGTCAGCATTGCCCTTTGTTGTGAACGTCCCTGTACACTTTTTGTTTGAGACTTCATCGCTTTGTCTGGGCTGAGGTATTGAGGGTGAATTACACTCAAAATGGGTCAACCTTTTGGTCGAAGTCTATGGATTCTAGGGTAGGGATCTTCTGAATAGCTACCTAACATTGTTGTCAACCGTATGGGCAGGCATCAGGGCTTTCCAGTGAGCCGTTTCTATGGGCGAGTTCCGTTGGTTGGGCGCTGACAGATCTTTTTACAATGTTAAAATTATGCTGCTGTCGGATGGAAAGGCTTCATGGCTACCATGGCACATGGAAAGTGCGAGCGCAGGTTAGGTGGCAGGATGGGCAGGCAAGGGAAGCGCTGATGACTGGTGCTGCGTGGAGTGCTATATACCTACCTCAGGTAGCTAAGTCTGCCGCTCCTGGTTTCCGACAGGAGCCGCTACATCAATTGCACTTCTACGGTGCTTTGGCGTAGCGGTTTTAGACGTTGAGAAAATCCCTGGACTGCCTCTGCTCGAATGATACTGTCCCAGACTGCTGCCCGGGCTCAACCCTCTTCTCTGCAGGTTGCACTCCTCGATCAACCACTTTTCTTTATATTCTCTCATTACTCGCCCTCTCTGTTTTTTTTTTTCCTTTTAATCTAGACCCGCCGCGTCCAGTAGTCCCGTCTTGCATCGCTGTACAATACAGCACCAGCTACCAGCCCCTTTCCTACCTTAATTTCCCCCCAAACTCTTCCCCAGCTGCCTTTTCAGCAGCCACTTCTCGCCCGCACCTCTCCCACACCTCCAACCCGGTAAGGATAGTACTCCAGAACATCAGCAAGCTCACCACCCCGGAAGAGAATGGCACCCAGCCGATGACTGAGCCGGGGACAGCGAGATCTAGCGCATCGGCCACCATCCTCCTGGCAGTGATCCTCCTCTTCTCCCTCAGCCCAACCACCACATGCACGTCACCACCCGATTCGCCCCTCGTCGCCGGCACGTTCCCTTTCGCTTCCCCCTCCCCACTCCCTTCAGCCCGTCTCTCCCCTGCGGCTGCCGGGGCCAAGGACAAGGACAAAGCCCATGACAGAAACAAGGCCCTCAATCCGCCAGCGAGAACCGCGCACACCAGCCCAAGAAACCAGAACCTCTGCGCCTCGACCGCCAACAGTCTAGCCCGCTCCTCCCCCCACACGCTTAGGCCGGGTATGTCCAGCGCCTCGGGGAACGTGGCGCTCTCCAGGAGGTAGTACATGCCCGTGAACGACTTTGCCGCGGCGTCCAGGTACCGCTCAAGCTGCTCCGGTAACCATCCGGGCCTTGGACTCGACACCGCTGCTGCTGATGTTGATGATAGTGGGGTTTGCCATGCAGCCCAGGCCGCGGTGAACGAGTCCAAGAAGCGGAAGAAACGGAAGGGGCGGCGGAGAGTGGCGAGGCGGTTGCGGATAGCGGAGAGGATTACCGGATCCAGCGGCTTGGGCGTGGAGGGGGAAGGGGAGGGGGATAGCAGGGAGGAAGGTAAGGGTAAGAGGATCAGGGCGAGGGAGGGGTAGGCGAGGAGGAGTTGGGTGAGGGCTTGGAAGAGACGGAGGAGGCGTTCGATACCGTCTTTTATTTTTGTGAACGTGTTAGTGTTTGTGTGTGAGAAGTCGTAAGGACAGGGGAATTTGCGGCGGAATCGAGATCTCAAACTTACAAGCGTCAGTCCCAAATCTTATGAACTGGTTCAAAGAATTGGCTCCGCCAGCCATCTTGATTGAGGCTCCCAAGCCACAACCACAGCCCTGGAGCTCCCAGAAACGGAAAATGAGACGCACCGGTGCCAATAAATGGACCGGCTAATTATGTTGACCGCCCTGCGCCGCGTTTCTCACTTGTCTTGCGGCTCTTGCGAGCGCGTTCTGTATGGATGAAGTTACAGTAAATGAACGGTACTGGTCCCGTTGATTAGCCGACGTGCCAAACCAACCCAGAGAGGGTACTGTACCTTTAGGGAGAGTACCCCCAGTTTTCCGCCTGAGCAGCAGCAGGGGGTTGAATCAGGGGCATCTCCTGACAAAACATTGCCTGGTATGCCCTCAACTTTCCAAGCAAGCGTAGACACAAAGATGCGTGGAGACCGAGACGAAACTGCATTGCGCCTCCGATCTCTCCAACATACCGAGCAGTGGTTCAACCACACTTTAGGGTCGGCCCACGTCGTTTGAACCCAACACAATAAATACAATCTGGTCCGTTCGGCTACTCTACAGCTGAAGCAGGCGTATAATACGTATGTACAGTGGCACAGATTCGGACCCTCGCATCGCCCGCCCGTATCTAGTCCAGGCCAGACTACCCGTTTACATGCCAGGAGAAGTGAGCTTGCCCTGCTCTCTTGCGTTGTGTTCCCAGCCACCAGCGAGCGCCTGACCGCCCGACTCCTCGGCAAACTTCTGCATGCGCGCCTCCAGCTCGGGCCGGAAGTGGCGGATCAGGCCCTGGATGGGCCAGGCGAACGCTTCGCCGAGGGCTACGGAGACGGACACAGTTAGCATGGCACTCATCCATTGTTCAAGAGAGAGACAGAAACCTACCGCAAATCGTGTGGCCCTCGACCTGCTTCGTCAGCTCCTGAAGCATGTCAATCTCGCGCGGGCGGCCCATGCCCTTCTCAAACCGCTGCATCATCTGCTCGGTCCACTTGCTGCCTTCGCGGCACGGGGTGCACTGCCCACAGCTTTCGTGCCTGTAGAAGTGGCTCAGACGTGAGATTGCGCGCACCACGTCGGTGCTCTTGTCCATGACAATGACGGCCGCCGTGCCAAGACCTGATTGGCTGTCCTTGAGCGCGTCAAAGTCCATCAGCTGATCGTCGCAGATGGACTTGGGCAGGATTGGCGTTGACGAGCCGCCCGGGATGACAGCGAGCAGGTTGTCCCAGCCGCCGCGCACGCCGCCGCAGTGCTTCTCGATCAGCTCCCGCATCGGGATGCTCATCTCCTCCTCGACTGTGCACGGGTTGTTGACATGCCCGCTGATGCAAAACAGCTTGGTTCCTTGGTTTCGTTCGCGGCCGAAGCTCGCGAACCAGCTCCCACCGCGGCGGCAGATGGTGGGGGCCACAGCGACCGTCTCGACGTTGGCGACAGTCGACGGGCAGCCGAATAACCCAACTGCGGCCGGGAAAGGGGGCTTAAGACGAGGCTTGCCTGGCTTGCCTTCGAGCGACTCGATCAAGCTGGTTTCCTCACCGCAGACGTAGGCACCGCCGCCGCGGTGGATATAGACGTCAAAGTCGTAGCCGGAGCCGCAAGCATTCTTGCCGATCAGACCCTCGGCGTAGGCCTCGTTGATGGCGTTCTGGAGGACGGCGGCCTCCTGGATGAACTCGCCGCGAATGTAAATGTAAGCAGCTGTGGCGTTCATGGCGCGTCCGGCAACCAGGCAGCCCTCGACGAGCTTGTGGGGGTCTTTGCGCATAATCTCGCGGTCCTTGCACGTCCCCGGCTCTCCCTCATCAGCATTGACCACCAGATACCGTGGCTTGTTGTCCTTGTCCCAATCCTTGAAGTTCATGAATGACTAAGGAGCAGGATCGATCAGTCAGTGCTGCCGACTTGCAGAATAGGGGGCACAGGCTGCTACATACCCATTTCAACCCGGAGGGAAACCCAGCACCACCACGCCCCCGCAGGCCCGAGGTCTTGATCTCGCCGATAATCCAGTCGTGGCCCTTGAGGAGGATTTCCTTGGTCTTGTGCCAGTCACCCATCTTCTTCGCATGCTTCAGGTCGGGCGGATAGCGGCCGTAGAGATTCTGGAAGATGCGGTCCTGATCCCGCAGGCCGCCGTAGGTGCGCTTCGGTGCGGCACCGGCATCCTGAACGGAAGCGAAGGAGCGACATTGCTGGGTTGCGGCGGTCGCTGCGCTCGAAATGGCCTTCGCCGACGCCTTGCCCGGCACCGCAGTTCGTGACAGCATCTTGAAGGGCCCGGACGTTTATGTATTAGCAGCAAGTCTCTCTGCTCGGCAGAGCAGAGGTGTTGGAGATGCCAATTGGCCGGAGCGGAGATGGAGACGGTGACGGGAAATCTGCGGCTTTCGCACAAGTGAGGACGAAGTTGTGCAGGGGCCTTCTGCTTGAGCAATCGCGAGGAACTGAGCGGCTTTCGTGTGGTTTTGGATTCGCGGCTTTCCTGATTGGCTGTCCAAAGTTGCCGAGCATTGGCTGTGGCGGGTGCTTTGTGGCGAGCTCGTCAAATTTCTGTGACGCAGGCGTGCCGGTGTGTGTTCCCACTCAGTGGGCCGCTGAGCCTGCCTCGACCAAAATGACATCGTATTGTAGGGTACGTCCGTAAGTTTAACTACAAATACATCGGTACGGTAACTTACCTGTTACATAGCCAGCAATACTATCTCCAAAAGTTCAGCAAGGAGAAAGTAAACAGAGCTTCCCTCATTGCATCAAACAGCCATGCAGTTTCCCCAAGATACCCCAAGGACGCCTCCTTAAGAGCCAGAGGAAGATAACAATGTCGTCCAAACGGCACTCCATCGTCCCGCCGGTGTCGCAATCCGGCCCCAAACCGCCCGTCCAATTTTCGTCGTCGATAACCATTTCGGACTCGGCCCTGCTGACCGGCACAAACCTCATAGCCATCAGCAGCGAGAGTGTTATCCACCCGCGAGCCAAGCTGGACTCGCTTGCCGGGCGGATTAACATTGGGCGACGGTGCGTGGTGCACGAGCGGAGCGTCGTTGGAGCGGTGGGAACTTCGGGCAGGATTACAGAGGCGGCTGTCACCCTGGGCGATTACGTTACCGTCGAGGTAGGCGCCTCTATAGAGGCCGGCGATACCGTCATTGGAGATGGAACTACAGTTGGAGTTGGGGCGAAAGTTGGGGCGGGTGCCGTGATTGGGAAGGTACCTCAACCCTGATTCCCAAGGCTGTACTTCTCACACTCGCTGCTGGCTACTGGCTGACATATGCCTGGCATAGCATTGCACACTCACGCCACATACAGAGATAGCAGCCGGGGAGGTGGTGCCGGACTTTACCGTTGTCTACTCGAACGGATTGAGGCGGCCTGACCGGAGAGGCATTGCTGAATTGAAGAACAAGGGCCAGATACGGCAGATTGATGTTTTGAGGAGGATGATACCCAGTAACCCGGCGAAATTCGATTAAAACCCATGGCATCTTTTCCGTTCCGCCAGACATACCTATACTCCAGAATACATGTCTGTCTCCCATTCCCAGCACCTGTATACGACCTTTGTCCCACCATGTGCCCTGCCAAGTCCCGATAACCTATAACCCCATTCGAAGTCTCTCTCCATATAGCAGATTTTCCAATTCCTCCATTAGCTGCGCCATATTACTGCAAACACAGGCATCCCCACAACCTCTCTCACAGGGACCGTGTCTTCATCCACTCGCTCGTTCCCAGTCCCAGATTAAGCCCGTTCTCTGCCCACCATCTGCGGACCTTTGTCTGGTCCCCCATCGAGTCCTCCAGCGCCTCCTCAACGTCCATCGTCTTGTACTCAACCCGAACGCCTTTGCCATCTTCCATTCCGGGAAGCTCTCCGTGCGCATACTTGCGCCACCACTCGAGCACGGGGATATGGGCGTGCTGGGTTGCCTCGATGAGGATCTGATTATCAAACTGAAGTTTATCGTCGCCCCGCAGCTGGCGCCATAGGTCCAGCACCTTGACCTGACCCCACCGGCTCGCCGTCTTGCACACGGCGTCCTGGTGTCCCACTGGGATCCCGCTCTGTTCCCACCACCGAATCACCCCCAATTGGCCACACTGAGCGGCAGCCAGGAGCGAGCGGCCGGGCTTAGGCTCGATGGACGGGTCTTGCCTGCCCGCTTCTCGCCACCACTCCAAGACATGCACGTGGCCTTTCGAGCTCGCCATCTCGAAGGCCGCCTCGGTATACTTGAGCGGCAGACCTGAGCACCGCCACCATTCTAAAACGTGGACGAACCCCCTCCCGGACGCCCCGTTCAGCGCCTCCGCATCGTACTGCTTCTCCAGGAAGGAAGGGGATCTTGCCCACCAGTCGAGGATGTCGGTCCGGCCATAGTATGCAGACGCTTTGGTCGGTATCGTCTTGCCATCGAAACACTTGAAGATGTGGGGGAAATTCGACTCTATATATGTGAGAACGCCGGTCAGGGAGAATTTGAAGATGAGGTGGACAGCCAGGGCTGATAAGTCATGGAACGACGGAGGCGCCTCGGAAAGCTTCTTGCACACTGCCGCTGTGTCAGCCGTGAGCAGAGTCCACTCCAATTCGTGCATGAAGACCTGCAGCGGGTCGTTGGGGTCCTTTGGTTCGCGCCTCCAGCCTTGATTCGTAGGCATCTCCAAGGTAGTGAAAACCCCGAGACATGTTGCCAGTTCCCAGTCGTTTGTGAACTCGAAGATCATGCTCCATATTTCAGGAGGGAGTCTGCTTCGCGCCTTACGGCAGGAAGGGTCGGGCGACCCTGACTGTGCACCAACCTCAACGTCGTGGCCCAGTTTAAGGAAATCCGCCTGATTCTTGATGATGCTCAGCACCTCATTGAAGCCGTTCCAGTCGACGATGCGTTTGGGGCTGCTCCCTTTGTCGTAATGCCAGAGGATGGGCGGCATGACCCTGATCCAGCTCCACTTGCGATGCAGCTTGCTCATCTGCCTCTTGGTAACCGGGTTCTCCCACATCTGAGACGTCATTCCGGGTATAAGCAATATCCTTTTGGAGGCATCCCAGCCTCGCAGCACCTCAAGGAGCAGCGTATCGCATATTCCGCACATCATCTTGGCCAGAGTGTCTGCGTCAATGGGCGCGAGCACGAGAAGGTCGGCCCATTCTATCAGCTCAGATGCTTGCTGCTGGCAGAACTCGACGTCCTTTGCACTAGAGCCATCGGCGAGGCCCTTCTTCAAACTCTTATTTTGAAGAACCATGATCTCCTGCGCCAATCTGTGTGTCATCTCGTCGACCACGGCCCGTGTAATGATCTGTGACTCTTTGGACAGGCGAATGGCAATCGCCTCAGCGAAGGCCACATCCCGGGGACCGTTGGCGGCAACCAAGAGATGCAGAGGTCTTGGTCGCTGCGTCTCGCTGATGGATGAGGTCAAGGACGCCCTATCAACGGGAACCCGCCGATTGAGGGCCGAGCATTGTGAGCTAGTGCTAGTTTCCATCATATTGGTGAGAAACCGTAGATCGCCACTGGGTCGTGATCAATGGTGGCCGGGCAGTCCCGACGTCATCAACCGCGGAGACCAGCTGACACTCCGCTGGCGCGCTTGTTCTGCCTGTCGGGAAAGCTGCGCAATGCTAAAGCCCAGTATGTAGCTAAGCAAGGGAACGGGCCTTGATGACAATCAAGCGGGTATTAAATTGGCCAGCAGCTTGCGAATCCGTCATGCAAGAGTATCACCTAGATGCTGCAACGGTTGGTGCGAGTTGAGTATAGCTGAATTCAGGCTGGAAGGAAATATACGCTTAATTAGTAAACGTCGTCTGCCAATGCAGATGGTTGCTGCTGGGAGGACTGATGGTGACTAGTGAGTTAGATTGCTGGTTGATAAATGTTTGGGTCTCGAATGTTTGCCTGACGTCCAGATTATCCAATGCTGTGGATGGACTGGGCGATTCTGGGGTGCTACGTATCCGTACTCCGTACTCTCGGTACTGTACCTAGGTATGTATGTACAGTACTCCGTACCACCTCAACAAGCTAGCGTGTGCTGCCAGGTTGGCACGGACACTGGGGTAAGGCGATGTTTCATTGGCCGCCCCACTGCAGCCCTGCGCTAGAATTTTAAGCCTGCTTCCATGGCGATTGCTGCCAGTTCTGCCCGCCCGATTCCTGAAGACACCACCTCAGCTGGAGGTGGGGCAGCATAGCAACCTACGCAGGACACACAACACACAAACGACGAAACACCCTCCAAGAACTGGTGATAACTCCCGTCAACAACAGCCTACATGGATGTTACGGGCTTGAACTCCGCCTAGAAAGCGGTAAGGCTAACAATTTCTAAGGCTGTAGACCAACCGTGGTCTATGCAGCCCCAAGGCCTGTCTTGGTTCTGCATTCATTGTTCCCGTGTCCACATCACGATAAATTGGCAAACCACGATGCTCTGCGTGCATTTGCGGTGTGCAGTACACCGTAACAATGTCGGGGATGCAGAATTCCTTACCCATGAGCCATGCAGCTGCACGACCGGACCGGACTGAGACAGCAGATATGAAATCCTTCCATCACTGGCCATGGGGGCTAGAGTGGCCGAGTCGAACCGGCACAAGTAACCAGGCAATGTCAGCCTCCGAGGCAGCTCAATAAGTGAACCCCGGCTGGACAACCACGGACCGGAAAGAGATGCCGGAGCACGGGAAATGGATCCGAGCTGCTCCATCCCGTCGCATTTGATACATGCCGCCCTTCCGGTGCAAGTGCTCCTGCTTTTTCCATGCCTCATTTACAACTTGGGACGGCAGTGAAAGCTCTTTCTGGCACCTCAGCAACTTCCACCGCTTTTCCATGACAATATGGAAAATGCTAAACCTTGGAAGGCTTGTAATTTGCATGAAATTACAAAGATGGCGCACAAGACAAACGAAGTGTCGGCACGACTCTGAGACTGAAGCCCATGGGCGGCCAGGACTGCCACTCTCAAATGAGGTATAAGTTCCTGCTTGCTTGGTGACGGTACTAACCATGGAAAAACCTCAAACCTCCAACAACTTCCCAATCAGGTTCCGCTAAGCCAGGGAAGACCGTATCTGTCTTCGCCTTCCGTACTTAGTTCAACGCCACCCGACCAAGTCCCTCTGCCACGACGATGTCAATCCCCGAACCCAAGTCGGCTCACTGGAGGCCGAGTGCCAAAGAGTGGCATGCTGAGATCTCGAGGGTGATTGCCGTCTGGGAAGCACAAGAGTTCCTCAGGGAGTTTGTTCAAGAGGGCTGGCCTGACCACGTGTCCTCCTTCACAATCCAATGTAACATGTCCCTCGACGAGCTGCGGATCATCGGCCTCTTCGAGAAAAGCAACGGCATACGCATGTGCCAGAGAATCGTACGGGTGCCCGTGATCAGCGAAGAGGTTGGCACCGCGCTATGGGAGAAGCTCGCAGAGCCCGCACGCAGGACTTCTGCTTTGCAGCAAGAGGAAGAGAGAGTATCTTGCGAACGCTCGAGTCTCCCCAAGCCAGTCACCCGGGTATCCTCTTGGAGTACCGTTTGCGACGACTCCGGCAAGTCTATCCGCTCCGAGAAGAAGCGCATCAAGGAGGCAAGGTTGCAGGAAAAGAAGCTCAGTCGTCAGCTGAGCAAAGCGTTGAGGAAATACGACCGCCACAGATCTGGCCCGAGGGACGCATGTGTCTTCTGCAGCGGCAACTGCGCCCATTACAGCAAATATCCCGAGCTTAAACAGCCCATTCTCAACCGGTTGAAACACCTCTGCCGGCGACAGTCTCCGGCCAAGGACAAGACCGTACGCGGCTCAGACTTCTGGCACGCCCCGGAGGTTCCCAAAATCCTCAGCGCATCCACACAGAATCACACCGCCGGCAGCTCGGACCTTTCCGGGTCTTGGAGAGCCTCCAAACTCGTGGCGGAAGTGGTCTCTCTTGCCAAGGGCATCTCGTGGAGTTGTGGCAGGGCCGTTCGGTTTGCTTGAAGACTCTGCTCTAGTGAACGTTTTATTTAAATCCCCTGTTATTCATGATCAGTACAGAGTCGCTCAGGGGTCGAGTTGGGAGTTTAACAAGGGGAAGGCAGCGTGGCGTTTAGGCCTTCGTATTCCAAATTACTCTTCACTGCGTTTGCTCCGTTAGTCTTTGCAGATTTAGGGGCAAAAGGAACGTCGTGGGTCTGTGATATCGGTGATATGAAAGCCAGATGAGTGAATATAATGACCCGGTTATGCTAGGAATAGCATACACTATCTCTCCTCCCCTCTCGTGAGGGACCTGCCCCGTTTATACGGCATGTCAATTGATACTGAGCTGATGACTACTTACTAGACCTTACTGAGTCACACCATGAGCATCAAGCTCTATGGATCCCCAGTCTTAAGGGGAATGACGGATTACATCTCGAACTTGTGGGCCGGGAGATAGAGGAGAGTACCTACCCTGACGGCCACCTGTTACGGCACCCAAGCAATATTGCCTTGGCAAGATGCACGCCATTCCCATCTTAGATCCGCGAATGGTAACCATCACAGCATACGACTGGCAGGAGCAAACTCTTGCTGGTGGGAGGCTCATGGCCCGTTGCTATCATATCGGACTTGAAGTCAAGACCACGGCTCATAGGTGATACGGCCATCAAATTCTCGTGACGATCTTCATATTACGTCTAGTTGCTCTTGATTCTGGATCCCCTGCGCAGTACTTCGCATTGAACTCAAAATCTCACGAAGGAAGTGGGGATCATCGAAGTCATTCCCATGGAAGACTCCGCGGGTCGTTTCTAGGACTCATTAACAGCACCACGACCTGGGTCAAATAGTACTACTGTCTCATAGCGTCAACCATGGTAAGCACTACCTATTCTGTGCAGGTGTCTTGGGAGTGGGACTGTCTGCAGGTCGGTGAGGAGGAATTCGTTGCGTAGCAGGCGCGCCGCCCCGGTGACTGGCCCGGGTCACTGGGGTAGAGGATACCTACCTTACTGTAGTGGTGAATTCTCTACTGCGCACCTTACACGCCGCGCCGCAGCCGCAAAGATTCTGACTTCTTCACTTTCATCATCGCTTTCTTACGTTATGTGAACAAGTTCCTGCCTGTTTTGTGAGCCCTGCCTAGACCTGGCCATCAAGGTGGCCGCCATCAAGGTACCCCAGGTTCCTTCCCACGCGCTCACCCACTTCTCCTTCCATCCACATAGGTCCCCCGTTGCAGTAATACCAAGCCAAACTATGTGAAAACAGATCCATGTTGGTAACCAATTCCCAAATCGATATGTCCGCCGAAGACTTGGCGCTCTCCAACCACCCTGCCTGAGTCGCAAGGAAACTCCATAATCAGCCCTGATCATTCCATACCAGTATTGACGGGTGTGCATGACCAATCAAGGTGTCCATAGATAAAAGAGGGACCTTGTTTCGTACTGGCAGTTTGTCACAACATCCTATACCGAACCGACCTTATAAATACTGTAAGCCATTTCTGCTCCCTACACCGACAAGCGAGGGCTCCGTCCGGAAATCTAGCCCAAATCACTGGATTAGAAAAGCACCATGGCTTCTCAGCATGCTTCCGTCCGACATGGTTTGCTCCTCGCCATTTCAACGGCCGCTGCTGGTGTCTCTGGGACCATCACCGCAGGTCCTGTACAGCCGAGGCAGGCGACCCCGTCGGTAACGGCCATTAGCGGGTGCCATATGCACCAGACAGTTCAGTAAGTCGTTCGGGAGTGCATACAATAAAGCAAATGCTGATGAACCGACTTAGATACTGCATGGTGGGTGTCACGGAATACCGCATCCTTGCGACTGGAACTGCAACGACCGGCCTGCCCGCCTCGTATACGGACTGCCATGCCCATGCCACCCAGACGCAAGTTTATTCCGTTGATTATTAGACTACTCTAGGTTCTAACGGCTCTCCCACAGCTGGTGTATGAATCCAAATGGAGGCGAGGTCCAGATTGTCTTGGCCGAGGACGCAGGGGGTGGCAGTCAAACCACGAACGCACCAACCCCGACCGCAGCAAGCAAAACCTTCACAGCTGTCACTGATTGCCATCTGGATCAAACAGAGGTGTAAGTGCTGCTCTGTTTTGTGCCGAGACATTTGAGAGGCTTGATGATACTGACGGCCTCTTAGCCTTTGCTCAGCGGATGCGACCGAGTATCGAGTAGACACAACCGCGACAGCCACGTCGGATATTCCGCCAGCGTATACTGGGTGCCACACCCACGGATCAGAGACGTAAGGTTACTCAGCTTCATCTGCTTTGATGCACGCTGACACGATCGATTACACTTTGACAGCTTCTGCCTCACCCCTTCCGGAGATGACGTCCAGGTTCAGCTTGCCAGCGAAGCTCACGACGACAGTGGAGCCAACAAACCGGCCGGGGAGAATTGTCATTTCCATGCCGGTGTTGAGTACGGCTCCCCCTTTGCTCCCTCGATATGGGACTCGAAGCTAACGTCCGGACAGGCATTGCGTTGGAGCTGGGGGAGAAGATGGTCCACGCAGCTGCGGGCGGATAGACCGAGAATACAACGTGCCTCTCCGAGTTGGCCTGTTATTTGTCATCTTAGTAACCAGCGCTATCGGTATGTTTGCAACAATGAGCCACATTATACAAAGCTTGAGGCTGATGTACTGTAATCTCAACAGGGGTCTTCGGCCCAATCGTCCTCTCCAAGTACCTGTCCGCCAAAGCAAACACAGCTCTGTTAATCATCAAGCAGTTCGGCACAGGTGTCATCATGTCTACGAGTCTGGTACATGTACGAAACCCCTGGTGCTTGAGAATGGCCTCGGATGGCTAACAACAACCCTGCAGCTGTTTACACACGCAGAGCTTATGTTTGGCAACGAGTGCCTCGGCGAGCTTCAATATGAAGCCACCACTGCTGCCATCATGATGGCCGGGATATTCATATCCTTTCTTGTCGAATACCTCGGCTACCGCCTCGTCAAATGGCAGGCGAACAAGAAGATCCAAGACAACGAGACGTCCTCAGCATCACCCCAGCAAAGCCTGCAATCCCTCCAGAAACTTGAGACAGTCAGCATCTATGTTATGGAAGCAGGCATTATTTTCCACTCTCTAAGTAAGCCAAAACTTTCTCTCCCACAAGACGGATCTGGCACTAACGACCTGTTCCGAAGTCATCGGCCTCACCCTTGTCGTGGCGGGCGACAGCTTCCTGCTCACTCTTTTTGCCGTGATACTGTTCCACCAGATGTTCGAGGGGCTTGCCCTCGGGACGCGAATTGCGGCCATGGGTTCCCGGCCTGCCTCCATCACCAGCATGGTATTCCACAGCCATCACGGCCACCAGCACGCCCTCCCCGTGAACGTCCCTTCGGGAAAGAAAGACGCCAGCACCGAGGGTCCCGAAACGGAAAATAATTCAACATCCGGGCCACTTGCTCCGTCGCCACCCTCTTACCATGTATCTATGGCCAAGAAGTTGTCCCTGGCCGCGGCCTTTGCCCTCGTCACGCCGCTGGGCATGGCCATCGGGATCGGCGTGCTGCACCAGTTCAACGGCAACGATCCGCAGACCATTGTGGCAATCGGCGTGCTGGACGCCTTCTCAGCGGGCATTCTCCTTTGGGTCGGCGTCGTCGAGATGTGGGCGGCCGACTGGGTCCACGCCGGTGGCGCACTCACCGATGCGGGTTTGGCTACCACGTGCATAGGCTTGGGTGGGTTGGTTGCTGGTATGATTGTCATGAGCGTACTGGGGAAATGGGCTTGAGCAATTGACTGGGGGTCTCCGTTCTGTTGTGGCTGGCGGCGGCAAGATTTGCGCTTCCGGCTCTGAGATGCAATGGATAGTACTTAGAGGCACGCAGGATACTTCTTTGACATTGCTGGTGGCCGAGGAAAGGCTATCTAGAACGGTACAATGGCTTAGGATAATTTAATTGAGTTATAGAGCTCACCAGGAGTGATATTAGACGAGATATCGGCATTGACCAGTGCCCCTATGTTGGTGTAGTAATACTCGATTGGGCACTCACTGGCGATTCCACCGTCAGCTCCAAATACATGTCAAATAGTAGCAAGTATCTTGAGAAATATCCACTCTATATGACTAAGTACAATACATAGTCGATCTCCTGAAGTGTCAGGCTTGTGAATCTCTCTTACAGAACGGACCCTGGATAGATCCGACGACCGTTCCTCCCCGACGCAGTGTTTAGAGACGCCTCGCGACCCAGAACTGCGCATTGTAGGAATTCCTCGTCAGCGCCATCTCATCAAAGCTGTATGGCGCATCCAGCCCGCGGACTTTCTTGCCCGGAACGGTCACCTCGCCGCACCCCTCCGGAACTTCTTGAAACTCGAACCCCATGGCCTCGGCCACGGCAATGATCTCGTCCAGGGACAGTTGCACAAAGGGGCCGGTACCGTAGAGCAAGGGGCCAAAGTTGATCCAGTAACCCCCGGGCTTGAGAAGCCTGGAGATGGTGTCGAAATAGCTCATGAGGTTACGGGCAGTGTCGATGAAGAAATGGGTCACCACGGCGTCAAAGGCACCCGTGTCGCCGTCAGGAAAGATGGTTGTAAAGTCGCCTTCGACGAGCACGACCCCGGCGGTGCTGGGTGTGATATCCGGGAAGATCACGGGGCGGAGCATGTCGGCTGTCGAGCGGTGATGGGACCACGAGTCCACAAAGGGGTGGAGGGTCCGGGTGTCTTGCGCGGTGCGGTTCTCGAGAAACCGGTAGGCTACGTTCTGGTACATGGACCATTCGTTGTTTGTGACCTCGAATCCTAGACAGATCATACACTCAGCGGATGTCCCAGAGGGTAGTAGATGCTAGCTAGGGTGTTCAATTTTATTGGCGGAGTGTTCTCACCTCGAAGCTGTGCAACCTCATGCCCCAGCCGTCCAAGGCCAGCGCCCGGCAGGAGCACTCTTACGGGTCCTGGTCTAGGATCCGCGAATAACTCCCTCAAAGCCTTCTTGATGCATGGAAACGCCGCGTCTCTCTCATTGACCCCGGAGACAGTCCAATCTCGGACAAAGTGCTTCAGGGCCTGCGCGACGCTGATTCTCTCGGCTGGCCGTCCCGCCGCGTTCATCTGCCGCGTGTGTTCGTCTAGCTCGGACTGATCGACCTGGTAGAAGTTGAGCGCATTCCGCACAATCTCATTGCAGATATCCTGGTTCTTTGCTAGGAGAGGGGTGATGTCGTCGAATTTCTTGCTGTACTCGACTGTGCGTTCTAGCACCTTACAGTTGAGTTGGATCAGCCAAGGAGCCTATACCAGGTTATCTAGTAGAGTCAAGGGAACTAACGGCCTTCTGCTTCTTGGATACATGATTGTATAAGCCCCTGAGCCGGTCGAGTTCTGTCCGTTGGGTCTGGGCATAGTGGGAGAATCCGCGGAGGGCTTCGAGGAGTCGGTACCGAGGATGGTGCTCGTTCCATTTACCGTGCTTTCTGCTCATCCGTTGAAGCAGCTGCTCCCGTTCCTTGACATGACGCTCCGTTTCTAGCCTTGCTGGCTTATCTTCTGCTGGAAGTGTCACGACGACTTGGTGCACCTCGAAGATGGAACTATCAATGGCGGCCTGGGCGATGTACTCGGATCCTATTGAGTGATCGGGCATGCACTTGGGGTTGGCAGATTCGGGGCCAGCAGGTTGGAAGCCCAGTTGTGACTGCGCACATGGCACCTCGCCGCCGATAGCGCGGCCGCAGACCCAGAGGATGGTGCCGGACACCCACGCCGCTCTTCGCATTGTGGCCAGATCAAGTTTCCGTAGCAGGTCGAGGGAAAATGGTGTTGCGTTTCTCTAGTTAAACAGAATAATATAGCGTCAAGCGTGACTGCTGTTTCTATTGGGAGTTGACCCGCTTGAGGAGCATGTTTGAGAACCTTGACGACCTGGCTCTCGGCGTTCCCATTTCCCGATGCTCCCACTCCTTCCAGAACAGGAGCAACGCCATTTCGATGATTCCATCATTTCGATGGTTCCATGCACAATGAAAGAGGAGTATTGAACCTTTCTGTTAGTTACTGTTTTGGACTTTGAACCAACGCACTAGGAGGTTTGGCCGTGCTTTGGATAGATATGATGGTCAGGTTTCAAAGATACCATCTGACCAGAATGGTGGCTGGTTGGCTGTCAGTGCTCTGTACGAACCACGAAGAATTCCGCAGCATGTCGGGCTGCCAGCAAGGTCCTCAAAGTCTCCGACACGACTCTCGGGCTGCACATAGGGGAGCTCATGACGCCGATTCTGCATGAATGTTGCTTTCCCGCCATATTCCACATTTTGTTGCAATCTGATGCGATGCTGCAATGTCCTGAGAGGCTTGAGAACCTTGCTGGCCGTTATGAGGCATCGTACCGCCTGCCCGAGGGAGAGGCATATAAGGAATCCAAGACTCCCTCGGTTCTCATGCCCCTGGCACTTTGACCCTTGACCTTTTCCCAATCTTGAGGTTATACGACCCAGACCACCCGTTGTTGATATCCCTTATCTCATCCCTCGATGCTTTTCTCCGATGACCTAATGTTCTCGACCTGGCTCCGCTATACTTCTCGAAGCCCGCAATTATGCTAGCAAGGAGCAAATGCTTCTTGGCAATTACAAAGCCATGCTTCCCCTAGCCTTGAGTATGCGAGTTTGTTCCAACTCGGCAACTGCCACCATGACCTGCCTGCTGCGGGATCTAGAGCCTGCTTGAGTTTCGGCATTCCGAAGCTACCTACCTAACCCGACCTACCTACCTTACATCCTCTCACCGGTCTCTTAGTCACACCTTCCCCCACACTAAGACTGACCGGGCACCGAGGCAACAACCTGCTTCAGGAAGCAACCCCCGCAACCAACTTTGATAGCAGCAAGTGGAGAACATGTCGCACGAGGCGTTGGACGGGCGCTAGTATGCAGCCTCGAGCAATCACAGGCCTCACCGTTCGTCTAACAGGATGAAGATGATCACTTGGATGGTGTCACTCGCATGTTGGGGTGGGGAAGCTCGCAAGCTTGAGGCTGGCGGGGAGCCAATCCCGTCGAGTCTGTCACCCATCAGTCCAGTCTCCTGCCTGCGGCTGGTGTGCCTCGAACGCTGGCGTGGGGAGATACCGTGACAACGAGGCGGGGTTGGAGTAGCGGGACCACCGGAGGGGGTGGGAGGGGAGGGAGGATAGGAAACGAAGACGACGAGCTATTTAATCCCGAACCGTTCCCACCTCTCTCTCAGACTGCCTGGTTTCCAGACATCAGATACAAGCGCTACCTTACCCATCAGAAGAATCCAAAGCAAACCAACAGACAACTTCCAACGTCCACAACCACAAACTACATTCACCATGTCTCCCTGGTAAGAACCGCCAACATCCAACATTCCGGCCTGAAATGGGGCAACTATCCCATTTGATGCTGATTATGAATCTCGCTTTCCAGTGATTGCTCCACCTGCAGCTGCTCTGGCTCCTGCGAGGGTTGCGCCTGCGACTCGTGCGGCGTACGTTTTGCACCTTCTCTCGCTCAGCTCACCACTTCCCTCAGCCAGCTAACTTGTACGAACCGTCAGCACTAAATCCATGGACCACGAAGTGAACCTTTGCCTCCATATATTGGTATCTAGGATGGTGTGTTCTGAGGGATTTGGGCGAGGGTGACGAGTTGCGGTTTTGTCTTTCGCATGGCCTTCACTGTCTTGTTCAATGTCGGTGGTCGACCATCTAGGCCGACACAGCCACTCGTTATTCATCTAGGTACCTAGTGCAAATGATATATCCTCTTCCGCGGACTGGCATTCATTTTGAACTGGACATGTATTCCGTGATATGACAAGCGATTGCTGCCCCTTAGCTAGGTACTCAACAGTCAGGACTTGAGATTTGAGAAGGATGGGGTCTGACGTCACGGGATTGAATTGGAGTACCTAGGTGCATTGAACTTTCCACGGAGCAACCCATCCATGACCCTGACCGCGCCCACCCAAGATACCACTCCCCGCCCCGCATATGTATTTGTAAGAGCAAGCAGTCAGCTTTACTGGAGCCCCAAGCCGTCGACTTTGCCCAAAAACTCCCCCTTCACCCCGCGGAGGAGGGCATCCACATCCACCCCGGCGAGATACTTCTCGCTGACTCCCGTATTGACCCTGCGGCTGAGCAGCTGGCGGAGCTCGGCGCGCCAGCGTTTCACCTCGGCGGCGGGGACCTCCCTGGCGGCGCGCTCCTTCTGCTTGCGGCCGCTGCCGCGGCCCCGCCAGGAGCCCGCCTTCGCCAGGCCGTCGGCGTCGTCGTCAAGGTCCACCCCGAGTTCCTCGGCCGCCTGCTTCAGCCACCCGTCCTCCTTGGCCCCCTTTTCCTTGGCCAGCGCCGTCTCGGCGATCTTCTTGGCCAGGTCCACCCGCGGCCGGAGGTGTGAGACGAGGCGCCGGTCAATGTCGATTGTCTCGACGAGGCCGTGGGTGGTTGGGTTGGAGGATTTGGAAGCGGCGGCCGCGTGGACCTTAGCAATGAGTCGCTGTGTCGGCACCGCTTCCTTGGGCCCGCACAGCAGTACCGACACACCCGAGTTGGCCGCCCGCGCAGTGCGGCCGGACCGGTGCACGTAGTCGTCTGCTGAGCGCGGGACGTGGTAATGAATCACGAGATCAATGTTGGGTATGTCAAGGCCACGGGCGGCCACGTCGGTTGCGATTAGAATGGAGGAGGCGCGGTTGCCGCTGGACTCGGTGCCGGGATTGTCCGCCTTGAAGCGCTCGATCGAGCGGAGGCGTGCTTTTTGCTCCATGTCAGAGTGCAGGGCGAAGGCAGGGAGGTTGAGGTTTTGAAGGAAGGGTGTCAGGCGTCGAACCGTGTTGATGGAATTTGTAAACACCAGCGCCCGGCGCGTCGGTTGCAGGAGGAGCACGGCGTAGAGGTAGAGGTCTTTCTCCAGGTCGCCGCATTGGATGAGGCCTTCTTTGAGATTCTCGGCCATCTGCGACACTGGGTTGGTGTCGAGAAACTTGGGGCGCGCTTCGCGGAAATTGAGCTTTTTAAGGAGATATTCTAGTGACTCGGCTTCGCCCATCAGGTTGTAGCGGGCCTTCCCGGCTAGTTTTTGTTGTAATGCCTTGTTGAAGGTGGCCGAGAAGACTAGTGTTTGTCGTTGGCGGCGAGGCTTCTCATTATCATCGGCGTCGTCGTCGTCGTTCTCTTCTCCTGGGTAAATCCGATCCAGGGCATTCAGGATCTCTTCCGCTTCTTTGAAGTGGCCGTCTTTGAGCAGCCTATCGGCCTCGTCTACGACGAGAAAGCTGATCCCTCGCATTGCTGCGAGTACGGAATTGCTTGAGCTCATCACCTCCCACAGTCTCCCTGGCGTCCCGATGACGATGTCCGCCCTCTCCAGCTGCCGTTGCTGTTTCTGGACGGCTAGCCCACCAGTTACTGAGCAGATGTACGGGGCTGTAGTGAGCCCAGCACAAAGTTGTTTGAAATGATCAGTGATTTGATGCGCGAGTTCCCTTGTTGGTGACAAGACCAAGGCAATCGGCTGTTTGTTTTCGCTTCTCTGGTTTCCAGCCGTCGATTTGGCCAGCCAGCTTTCCACTATGGGTATCCCGAAGGCCAGTGTCTTTCCAGAGCCGGTGGCTGCTTTCCCGATGACGTCGCGGCCGTTCAAAATCTCTGGGATAGCTCTTGCTTGGATCGCCGTTGGCTTGGAGAATTTGAGGCGAGCAATCATTGACAGCATCTGAGGGCTGAGTCCAAGTGTCACCCATTCCGACATGTCCATGTCATCATCCGCGACATCAGTTTCCGTGATTTTGCTGGCTTGGGCAAAGACATTGTCTTCGAGTTCGGGGTCGGCCTTGGCTTGGCGCTTCTTTGCAGAGTTCTTCTCCTTCTGGATCTTGGTGGCCCCGTCTCCTGTCTTGGGCTGTTGCTCTGCACCTTTTGGTATGGATGACGGCGCTTTCCCGGATATTTCTTCGGCTGTTTGAGATCCAGCTATTTGAGGGGCGTCATCGAACCCTTGAAACTCATCGCTGTCATCTGAGGGGGAAGCAACAGCAGCGACCTGATGTCAAACATGAGAAAGGGCTCAGAGGGGTTACACAGCCCGGGGATACTCACGAACTTCACAGTATCGCCGTCTCTCACAACATCAACTCCCTCGACCTCTTCTAAGCCGTAGAAGCCCTCGGCATCGTCAAACATCTCGGGAACATCGACCGACTTCCATGGTAAGGAATCTACACTTGTAACACGCTTCGCGACACCGGTTTTTTGACGCTTGGAACCTATGCTCAACGCTTTGTGTTTCTTGCTGTGTCCTTCGGACAATTTGCGTTTCTTGCCAAAACCCATGTTGAGATCTCCGGTGAAGTTGCGGTGGTTGAACGGGTATTGCTCACTTGTAAGACAAAGATGTCAGAGATGAAAAAGGAGATGAGATTCTATGAATTGAGAATGACCGGGATCCCTCTTAGGCCCCACTATTTTGCTGCCGTGCTTTGCGGGAAAGAACAACTACAGCCCAGTTCAGTGCAATGCGAGGTGGAAAGTGTTGCACGACTGATGGCAAGAAATAAGATACTCCCAGTATTTTTATACCTTCTGGTTAACCTATCTGATGCACCTCGGACGTGGAATGGACATTGACAATGTACTAAATACAGAGGTAGTAGAATGTAATACAGGACTCTGACCCTAACCCTTATGCTCTCTCACCGCCTACCTAAGGAGGTTAATAGGCCCTGATTAGCGCTAATGTAACGATATCCATACGGAGTACTCTTACTGTAATTATTCAATTGTGTAAATTTACACGTTCCACCACTCAAGGAAAGTTCTCAACCCAACTGAATGAATGAGTGCTCGCCCGACGAAGCCATAGAAGCTGCCACGCCAATTACCCATCAACACAGCGGCTCAGTTGCACAGCACTCGGGTCACCCGAAGAAATTGTGGAAAAAGTAGCTCTAAGCCGGTGTTCCAAGCCATTCGAACTCGTTGACCTGAGCCTCGCTTCACCTCGTTGGTTTGACTCTCAGGTCAACATGGGGAAATCATCCAAAGACAAGCGTGACGCATACTACAGGCTTGCCAAGGAACAAGGTTGGCGGGCAAGAAGCGCGTTCAAGCTGCTTCAACTTGATGAAGGTGAGTGGGGTCAACACAGGCCCTATCCATCGAGACCAAGACTGACGACGCTGCCTAGAGTTCAACCTGTTCGAGAATGTTACTCGGGTCGTGGATCTCTGTGCTGCGCCCGGAAGTTGGTCGCAGGTGTTATCCAGGGTTCTTATCAAAGGCGAGAAGTTTGGGCGTTGTGCCTGGCAAGACCGGGAAGCCAGGTTTCGCCAGCACATGCTTAATGTCATCCCCTCGGATGTAGCCCCTGACCAGGGCGAAAAAGGGTCAGAAGAAGGCCTCCTTCAGAACGAGGAAGCCAGTCCCCAAAGGGACGTCAAGATCGTTTCCATCGACCTGCAACCAATCAGCCCTCTTCCCGGCATCGTCACCCTCCGAGCAGACATCACCCACCCCGCCACAGTTCCTCTGCTCCTGAAGGCACTGGATCCCGACTATGATCCGGAGACCATGAACCAACAAGCGTCACATCCGGTGGACCTGGTTCTGAGCGACGGCGCTCCAGATGTTACTGGTCTCCATGATCTCGACATCTATGTCCAGTCGCAGCTGCTGTTTGCTGCACTCAACCTTGCCCTGTGCGTGCTGAAGCCCGGGGGCAAGTTTGTCGCCAAGATTTTCAGGGGCCGCAACGTGGACCTGCTGTACGCGCAGCTCAAAATCTTCTTTGACAAGGTCTACGTTGCGAAACCCCGCTCATCACGAGCGAGCAGTGTGGAAGCCTTTATCGTTTGCATAAACTTCCAGCCCCCCGAGGGATTCAAGGCGAGTCTCGAAGAGCCTCTGGGTGTTGGTAACCGGCTGCCCAAAATGTTGGCGCAAAGAAACGCGGCGTTACCGATCACTGCACCAGAAATAATGCAAGACTACGTGACTGGCGCCTGGAACTTCATACCCGAACGGGTGCAAACTGTTCACGGTGACGGGATCTGCGATGTCGAGGTAGAGGATCTGTCTATCGAACCCTTCGACAAAGACATCCGGTGGATCGCCCCTTTCGTCGCATGCGGCGACCTCTCAGCCTTCGATTCGGACGCCTCGTACAAACTCCCAGATGACCACGTCTCACTCGACCCGGTCCAGCCGCCCACAGCGCCGCCGTACAAGCGAGCCATTGAGCTCAGAAGAGCTAACGGCGGGGCATACGGCAAACCCCCAGGGAAATGATGATCATAGCATATTCATGATGAATCTACTCACGCTACCTCTGACCATCCTCCGCTTTTGGTCGTGCCTGCTTGTATGCCCTTCCCTGCACCATTGCCGCATGTCTTTCTAGCAGGAACAACTTTGCCGAGGGTGTTTCGCTCACGTCGCTCATCCCAAGCGTCTCCCTGTACAACTTCACCGCGCTCTCGTCCCTGGTGAAGAGCAGACACCGGCGCAGTTTGGGCCATGACGCGAGGACCTCGTCCAAACATTCCATCATCCACCTACCCAGCCCTTTGCCCTGATGCTCCGCGAGGACGTACACGTCGGTGAGGTAGCCGAAGGTGACGTAGTCTGTGACCAACCGCGCAAGGCCGATCATTTTCAAATCGGGGCAAGCTATGAATGTTTGTTCGTATGAGCTGGGACGGGGCAAAGACTCCTCCCTCGACCAAGAGGGTGCCGGGGAATGAGCGGGACGAACCTGCGGCTTCGACATCGGCTGAAGTAGAGCTGCGGCCTTCTTGTACGTAAAGCCCAAAACAGAGCGATTGTTCGACGCAGCGCTTCAGCCCCTCTGGAGCGAGTGGTTGGGCCCAATAGAGCATATCTGAGTCGAAAGCGGCATTCACGGCATCGAGCTGGATGAGGCCGGGGTCGGTTGAGCAAGTGTAGGTTAAGCCGCCTACTTGCCGGGTCCAAGTTCTGACCTCGTCTTCAGGGGGCATCTTTACTTCTGTATGAGAGTATCTCTCAATTCGGCAGTCGGAGCTTGTGAGAGCTAGTTTGGGAAACTTTGAGAACAAACCCTGAAGGTGAGGAGGGTCCAAATAGCTTTCGTCGAGCGGATCATTGCAACCCACACCTTATAGCTTACACTCGCGCTTCGGCCCGCGGTGAGTCATGCCCGATTTCTAGCGACAGCGCCGAAGCCGAAGCAACGTATTATCGTGGCTTGGCGATGTGGGCCGGTGGTGACATGGAGCCAAGATATCTTCGAGATATCTTGAGATGACTGATGGGTGGTTTCCTACACGAGGCATAGCAATTATGGGGCTGTGAGCTGATTGAGGTACTCTATTCACCCTTTATGTATTAGCCCTCCCCGCTAGGTTGCCATTCGCTCTGGGTCAACGTCAAGTCGGGTGTGGGGTCTGTCAAAAGACAAAACATCAACCTGTTCGCTGAAAAGCGAAGTTGAAGAAGGTCCTCTCCTGAGAAAGCTTCGTGTAGCCGGATCAATTCGTGCCACACTGAGTCAAGGTAACGGTGAAACAGTGAAGTGGGGTTGCTTCATAGGGTCTGTCAACTTCCAGCTTGTAGAAAGGAATGAAAGTGAGACCTAGGCACCGCAAGATGGCTGCTATCTACACACTCGACATTTGGCCGAGGAATATGAAAAAAATGGCAGTATAAGGATAAATCAGTCCACGACGGGCGATCCACGATATGCTGTCGTCCTCCATGTCCACGATGAACCAGAAAATCTGCGGTCTCAAGATGGTGTCTTGATTAACAAATGTCACAGCACTAGACATAGGCGACAACATCCGCACATCATCTGCTCGAAATCCATGGCACGTACTTGCCGAATTAGGGTTGTGAATGGCTTCAACCATACAGCCCCACCTGTGCAAATGGCAGCGTCCCGAGTGCGTGCGTCAAGCTCATGTGGGTCCCGGGTCTTCAGTGGCACCTTCTTCAGTGGGGAGTCTCCACCAGAGCTGACCTTGGGATTGCTGGGCCCCGCTATGGATGCATCTGAATTGAATGAATTGACAGGCTCGAGACAGGTCATTTTCAAAGCGACTTCGTACTGGGTCAACTTTTTCTCGATAGAGACATGCGCACCTTTCTCGCTCACAATACGATTCCAGCAACATGCACATCAGTTCTCGACTCTATTGGATCTTGGCGTAGTTCGACCCTCGGCCCGGATAGTCCCCAGCCAAGCTAAAGCCTTGGAAGTTTCGCCTTGCTGCAATGCTCACAGAGCCTGGAACCCAATGATCTGGCTGTTCGTCAAATCCAGCTGGTTTCGCTTGCCACGTGTCACGGCTTCTTCACAATAGATTGCCTATCTTGATCCCGTCCTATGATAATTACCAAACCGACAGGCGCGCGGCAATGAACTGCTGTGACTCTTCGCAATCTGGGCAGCCGAGAGGAATGGATTGAACGACATGGCACATGGAAATTCACAACACGGATACCTGGTGCTCAGCAGCGCTGATGACAGCGGCGGAACAGCTCCCATGCCTTAATAAGTGGGATGAAAGCTCCCGCGACTGTGCACCCTGGGGAGACGGAGCGTTCAGCCTGCCCCAGCATGTTTCTGAAATGGTGGTGAGGTGAGGTGAAGCGGTGCCGGTGAGGGTTGCCCCAACCCCGTTGTTTTTGTGCCGCCCACCCTTTTGTTTTGCTTGCGACAATTGGCTTCTGCAACGACAACCCTTCCCTCTTGTCCGTTTTCATCCTTCTTTACGCCTTATTCTCGAGCTCGAACGTACCGCCGGTTTTTTCCAGCTCATTGTTGCCGTTGTTGCTGCAATAACGCTGTCGTCCCACAAGCGTAAGTTGGAGCCCCCTCCCCTCAGCTCTGCGACAGGCTGGATTTGTTTGTCGCGGCGCGTGACGCATTCAAGCATATTGCGCCAGATCACCCATGATCGCGCCCTTTGCGCGCAATCATTTATACTCCTTCCATTCGCGCATTTGACACACTAGCATGTATGCTTATTCATTTATGCAGGCAATCTACGGAGTAGCACATCACCAAAAGCAGATATGGCTCGCGAAGGAACGCGCTCGCAGACGGGCAACTCCAAGCCGCGCGTCTTCCCCGTCATCGACACGGCGCCGGCCGTCAAGCGGACAACCAAGCCCAAAGCGGCCAAGAAGAAGGCGACCAGCAAGACAGAGGCAAAGGGTGCCAAGCCCGCTGGTGTGACTAAGAAGCAGGCGCCCGCGAAGGAGAGCGGTGCAGCTAAGAAGGTATTCGAGCCGCAAATCCGGCTTATGGCTGGTAACCCTGGAAGCGATGGCTTTGCGCTGATGAGTCCATACCCACAGGTCAAGGCAGCGGTAAAGAAGACGACAAAGAAGGTCGCTGCTGGCGAAAAGAAGGTCGAGAATGCGGTCGAGAAGGCCGAGAAGCCTGAGAAGGCCGACAAGGCTGAGAAGCCTGAGAAGGTACAGCACTCCCATCTTTCCGCTCTTTATCTCTTCGCTGTCTCCCGCCTGACGCTTTATTTCTTGTCTCGTCGCTGTTCATTGCTGACTCGGCTTCTCCGTAGGAGGCTAAGCCCAAGACAGCAACTAAAAAGAAGGAAGCTCCCGCTGCCAAGTGATACAGCCCGCTTGCTATTTCTAGCACTGTCACTTGGATTGCTGTCCGTCCTTGAAACTGCGCCATTTCTTAGATATTCACGTTGTGTTTCTCAGTCTTGGGTATTGTTTGAAAGGCGAGCGCTTGGTTTGGTTTCTTGGGTTATGTAGGAAACGGAGTGAGGGAAGGGACTTGCTTGTACTTGTTAACGATGACTTGGAACTGCTGACCGAGGTGTCTTATTTGTCCCGTTTCTAAGATCGCATTGGTTGTCTTCTCCGCTGTGGTCCTCAACGGAGACCTGCTCAGGGGTACGCGCACAGCGACTATCACTTAGAGCAATGACACCCAACCGGCCAGCTATTTCCCCGAAGGACGGGAACTGACAGCGGTCCCATACTATTTCCTTACACGTAGTAGCGAATTCTTTGCTACCTTAGTGCTTCGCTGTGCTTGAACCTAATGAACCGCTTCTTGAGGCTGGCTCCCTAGCGGGCCGTTAGCATGACCTCTAGGGGGCCTATGTAGGACCGAGGACGATTACAGGTCAGCAACTGGTTGCGAGTGACGGCATGCTCCTCGTCCTGACATGAGGCTACAATTCAATGCTGGTTTGTTCGTTAGTTCGATACCCACCCCGCTTTTTCTAACCAACCATAGCACAGAGATACACAGGGCTTTGGCCAATTGAACCACACGCATCTGGCGCACTGCCCCATTTTTGGGCTTACATAAACGTCGACCTTTCCACCCTGACTTTCCACCCGGCTTCGACTTTTCCTCTTCTCCAACCTCTCCAGCCGACCATTCCGCTTTCAATTGTTCAGCGCTGCAAAGATCACTCGAATAACAGGGCACCAAACTAGCCATTGCTAAGGCTTCAAATCAATAGAGTTGTGTGTTCGATGCCTCGTTGCCTGCAAGCTGTGATTTAGAATGAAGGAGGGTATAGTGGGTACTAGTTGAGACTCTTCTGCCCACCCAAATTGTATGGGATCTTAGGTTCCTGTCTGTAATTAGCTGTCATTCGCTAGGTTCTCTGTAATTGAATTGATCGGCTTCCTCACCCTTGTTTAGATCCACTGTATGTACCGCGCTAACGAACAAACCAGGGGGACATTGTATATTCAGAACTATCTAGTATCTAGTAATGTTATTTTGCTAGGCTTAGGTCTAAGAAAAGAAATATCTTAACCTAGGGATCTTATACGGCCTCTCTTTGTTATGGCCTCCCCTTGTCGGAGTCAAGCGAATGCCTTCATTGTGTATGTACTGTGTACATACGTACAATACCAGTTGGCCAGGCCTTAATGTGAATATGCAGTACGGTACGGATAATCACTTGCATATCTGTACCGTGACAGTCGTGTCTGTATGTATGTACATACATACAGCAGTACATACAGTAATCACCACATTTCGCGGTTTATCTCGTCATCATTGACCGGGCCCAGCCGTTTGGCATCCCTGGGAGCCGCGAAACCACACCAATCAGACACCGTAGCAGGCATCCCAAAGCTAAGGTTTAGCGTCGCGTAAAGCCCCGGCAGGCGCAAACAAAGGTGCATGGTCGCGAATATCTCACAACGAAAGTTTCGTGCCATGCCCGGTCCATCATCAACCTTGCGCTTCACAAACACCTGAATCTCGACATGGTCACGCCGTATCCACTGGCGACCTCCACCCAGCATGTATATCATCAAGCCTTCGTGGCTGCGGCATAGCGGTAAGGGCCCCAATGCACCCCTTATTCTTCTTTGATTTCTAGTTGTTCGCAAAGTCGCTGATTCGACAATCCTATGTCGCAGGAGAGCAGAAGGACTTTGAGGTGTACAGCTGCCACATCTCTCCCGACGGCACCCGGCTTGCTACTGCTGGAGGAGGTACGTCGACGCGACCAGTACTGCGCATTCTCTTAAACAACAGTTCGGCTGAATCGAAGCAGATGGTCACGTTAGGGTCTGGTCGACCGAGTCCATCTACAACGCTGGCGATCCGAGCTACACGAAGCCGCGGCAGCTCTGTCACATGAGCCACCACTTGGGCACGATACATTCAGTTCGCTTTTCGCCAAATGGCCGATATCTCGCTTCAGGTGCCGACGATAGGGTCATCTGCATCTACAAGCTCGACAGCAATCCGCCTTCGCATGCTGCGACATTTGGTATGGAAATACACGGCAGTGGTTGGCTTGGCCGCGTTTCCTTGCTGACGCTGAACTAGGCACGAACGAGCCTCCTCCGGTAGAGAACTGGAAGACACACAAGCGCCTCGTCGGCCACGACAGCGACGTCCAGGACCTCGCATGGTCATACGACAACTCGATCCTGGTCTCCGTGGGACTGGATTCCAAAGTGGTGGTTTGGTCAGGGCACACATTTGAAAAGCTCAAAACGATCGCCGTCCACCAGAGCCATGTCAAGGGAATTACGTTTGATCCGGCGAACAAGTTCTTCGCTACTGCGGGCGACGACCGGCATATCAAGATCTTCCGTTTCACGCCTCCGCCACCGAATGCGACTCAGCATGACATGGTCAACAATTTCGTCCTCGAGACCACCATCACCGCGCCGTTCAAGAGCTCGCCGCTCACAACATACTTCCGAAGGTGTAGTTGGTCACCGGACGGTAACCACATTGCAGCGGCCAACGCAGTAAACGGTCCCGTGAGCAGCGTTGCTATCATCGAACGCTCGAGATGGGATAGTGAGATTAATCTGATTGGCCATGAGGGTCCGACCGAAGTCTGCATGTTCTCCCCACGGCTGTTTCATACGCAGAAGCCTACCGAGAACGGCACGTCGGGCGACCGTGGTTCTTCCGGCCAACTTGTGACGGTCATTGCGTCTGCTGGACAGGACAAGACTCTCAGCATATGGAACACCAACACCTCCAGGCCGGTGGTCATTGTACAGGATGTGGCGTCGAGATCCATCTCCGACCTCGCCTGGACTCCTGATGGTCAGACGCTGTTTGCCTCGAGCCTGGACGGCTCCATCATCGCCGTCCAGTTCGAGACAGGCGAGCTTGGCTGGGTCGCGAAATCGGAGGAAAATGACAAGGCGCTGCAAAAGTATGGCGCGGCAAGAAAAGGAATGGGGATAGCCGAGGACGTTGATGGTTTGCACCTCGAGAACCACAGCAAAGAGGGGGAGCTGCGTGGCGCTGAATCAAGGATGGGGGCCTTGATGGGCGACTTTCAGCCTGCCAGCAAAGGCGAAGCTAGTACGGCGAATGGCGTGAAATCAGCGACTAAGAATGGCGAAGCAAACGGTATTGCAGAGCCGAAAACGGGTAAAGAAACACACAAAGCAGTTCCGGCTGAGGAGGGCGCAGAGAAGGCTGCTGAACGGATAGCCGAGCTGAAAGCGCGGGTCCAGGTCACAAAGGACGGCAAGAAAAGGGTTGCCCCTTTACTTGTCTCGTCATCTGATACCGGCATGCTATCACTACCTCAGTCACAGCTGGTCGGAGCCCAGTCAACAAAGACGACACAGAACGATGCTCCGCAGGCGATACTGGACCTGTCTAAGCCGTTTCACGGCTTGCCCAGGGGCGGAATTGCAGCAATGCTACTTGGGAATAAGAGAAAAGCGGTGGCAATGGAGGGTGAGGAGGAAGAGCCAGCAAACAAGCGGCCAGCGAACGGCCCCATACCGATCATGGCTGACACAGTTGACGGTTTGGAACCCGCGCCGCTGACAGCCGCTCCTCAGGGCGTCGTCCCGACTCCCGAGTTCCTTCGACCAGCCGCCCTAAATCCCGCCATCTCTTTCTCCCAAGTAAGGCTAGCCGTTCCCAAGGTTCGATCACATATCCTCAGACCGCTTGAACGGGGTGTTCTCCAAGGTGAAGCTACTTTTGAAGAGGCGTCAAAGGTACCGGAAAACATAATTCTCGAGGCCAAAAATCCCGTTAAACCCCGTGAGCCCTCACATATTACTGCTAGCAAACGTGGCACCCTTCTATGGCAGGACTTCCTTCCGCGAGCTATTATCCTCGTCACCGGGAACAAGCATTTTTGGGCCGCTGCATGCGAGGACGGGACTATTCATACTTGGACGCCGGCTGGCCGGAGGCTTTTAAACAGTATCATTCTGGAATCTCAGCCAGTCATTCTCGAGTCCCGAGAGCACTGGCTACTATGCATTACTGCGGTCGGACTATGCCACGTCTTCAACATCAAGACCATGTCAGCACCGCATCCCCCGGTATCTCTAGCACCAATTCTAGATATCGCCACCACTTCGCTTTCCCCGGAGGGCGCAACAACCGCACCCGGCGTCACCTCTGCCCATCTCAACAGCGTCGGGGCGATCGTTGTCACGCTCAGTAACGGCGATGGCTTCTACTATTCCTCGAGCATGTATGCCTGGCAGCGCCTATCAGAGTCCTGGTGGGCCGTTGGCAGCCAGTACTGGAATAGCAACGACTCGTCCATCAGCGCGCTGTCGTCCACGGCCGTTGGCCCTGTGTCTGCCAAGAACGGCGAGAAGAGCGGAGAGGTCAGCGTATCGGCAGGAATCATCCCTTTCCTGGAGCGGCATACCACGACCGAGTTCCTGGCCAAGGGCCGCGCCTTCACGCTGCAGCGCTTGATTAAGACGCTGCTGTCCAAGGACGGATTCGAGGGTTTTGAGAGCACAGTCAGCGTGGCGCACCTCGAGAACCGCATCGCCGGGGCCCTGGCTCTGGGGTCAAAGGAGGAGTTCAGGCTGTACCTCTTCATGTACGCCAAGCGGATTGGCGCTGAGGGTCTCCGGTTCAAGGTCGAAGAACTGCTGAATAGCTTGGTAGGCGGTGTCTTGCAGGACAAAGCGGGCGATTTGAAGGCTGGTGAGGGCAAGGGCTGGTTCAGTAAGGAGGACACGTTATGCGGCTGGGAACGGAAGGAGCTCTTGAAGGGTGTGGTCCTAATCCTGGGTAAGCTTGCCAGTATTCTCTCAATGAACATCATGGCGCTTGCGGTTCGGCTGACTTATGGTTGCAGGCAAATTCCGGGACCTCCAGAGGTTGACCGTCCAATACGCCAGGATTCTTGGATTGACGTCAGATGGAGAGGACGGCGAGAATGGCAATGAGGGTATGGAGTTGGAGGAGTAGAGCACCTTCCAAGGCCTTCAGTCGTGCCAGCCTCCGGCCATACCGGCCATATCAAGACCCGACTCAAAGAAGCTGGAGAGTTCCGAGTCTGAGGGTAGCGGCGAGTATGGGGACGGGGTATCCCCGCGTTATTCAAGTGATGACCGAGTGGGCATTAGGGTTGCCCTCAAGACGGTCGAAATCCTGCTGAACTGGATTCACCAAGCCCGTCTCTTAGACGACGAGGTTTCTCCATGATTGTCTGGGTCCAGACCGTTACATGCCTTACAATTCATTTGGCATAGAGGGGGAGGCATCTGGGATCTTTGCTAGCGGTATTTTGGACCACGGATCGGATGGGCGTATGGAGAAGTTGGGTTAGTCCTGTTCTATTGTTACCATCAGCCCGAGTCAAGGTGTGGGGTGGCGTTCCAAGTCGCTTGACCCTCGCGGGTCCGTTACTACTACTTCGTATTTACGCGATATTGATATCCCCCCTTTTGTTGAAAACAAGCCAACAGGTTTGCTTCCTACCCGGTGCTTGGGAATATCCGCATGGTTCTCTGCGTGGTCCTCTCATCGAGCGCGGCCGCCTATTCCACCAAGATTATCGACAGCATGAAAGTATTCAAAACCAGATCACTAGTAAGCCTTAGCGGGCCGTGGTGACAGTTGGATTCCGAGTTCTTTTCCCTACAAGTGATTCCGATACGCAGTATCGAGTCCAATATTCTTCTCTCCAAGCTAATCTCCTTACGCGGTTACACAATACAGTACTTGAATCCTCGAGTTGAGCCTCAACACACTGGGCGACATGCAGTCAACATTTCAACAAGTCAGCCTGTGACCGAGTGAGCTTCAGGCTAGTGTCAGCCTTCGGAAACCCCGGGGACGAGGAGGAAAAGTGTGAAAAACGCCACCATCTGCGTACCAGCCCGATCTCAAGAATCCGGGTAGGGACGAGGCAGACCGGCAACAGCTCTGATTTGGCGTGGGTTGTGCGAGCAAGAGCCATGTGCCCTTTTATTTATCGCGGGTTCTGTTTGTTTGGCAAGTCGGGGTTTGCGTATGGGAGGGGTTGGATAATCGAGTTGAATAAAACTCATGCCCTCAATATTACACAAAGGCTGCACACTGGCTATGTATGAGCTGTCACGCGTTAGGGTGGTCCCCGACTGGGGAATGGGGAAGGGCAATGAAGAAGGCGGACGGGTGGACGGGCGCAGAAGAATGACGGATGGGAGAGGAGTGCTTGCTTCGTGTTGGAACCGATGGCATGCAATGGCTTGAACTGCGTTGTACAAGACAGGTGCGATGGTGAGTTCTGACATCTTTCTCTTGATGTCGCAGCACTAATAGAAGAATGTGTCTGAGTTTGGCAGCCCATCTTTATTCTTCTGGTGGTCGGTCTCTCCCGGCCGAAGCCCTCGGTTCTTGTTCATACCTCATCACGTTCCAGTCCTTTATCCTCCCTTAATCCACGCCATCACCGTACACCGCTCGTCGGAGGAGCACCATGGCCTCCCCAGAGACAGCACCATGCCCCAAAAGATGGGATTACGGGCGAGAGGACGCCAACCGCCTGACGCTCGTCTTGAAGCTCTTCTGTTATTTCGACCCGGCGAAGGCGGATGAGTACGGCAGGACCTTTACCGTGTGGATTACGCGGTATCTGCCCACAAAGCCGGCAATATGGACTGCCACAACGCCCGAGCACCAGACCAAGGCCACGCCAATTCCCGAGAAAAACGGGATGGCATTTGGTCCGCTAATGGCTAGTTCTCTCCCGGTTCTGGGGGGAAATGAGAAAATGGGGAGGCTCAAGGCTGTTAGCACATGCTGATATCTGGACGGGGCATAGGTCTGCTTTACCACGACCTCGGGCGGCAGAGAAGTGCTGGAGACGGAGCACGGCTGCTTCCAGTACTTTGAAGTGCTGTGGAAGGCTCTTTGCAAGGCCCTGCTTTCCACTGCGAGGGCCGTGGAAGTCGCTCGGCGACCCGCGCGTTATTTCTTGGGTTCTGCAGCCGGATTGGGGCCGTTCGGAGAAGCTGACGTGGTAAGGCCTGTAAGTGTCATTGCGGGTCTCAGGGGTGCTAATGGCAGCATCGTCTGTAGTTCCATGCTTCCCCTCAGCTGTCGAGAAGCAAAAGATCAAGGACCACCGGCTCACGAGGTCAATGCGGTCCTTGCCGAGGTGAGTGACGGCGGCCCCCTTCCTTCCCTTTTCCCTAGCACCAGTCTCTGACCGGGGACCATCACGACAGCTAGCGTCTTGTGACGAACAGGATCTGTACAAGGGGCATAGACGGTGTCCAGGGCACTCCGCGCCCGCGTGCATCGAGTCATTGTTGAACAGGCAGAATCATTACCGTACTCGAATTGACGATTTGATCAGGACACTCTCCGAGACCAAGGACTATGAGACGACCGAGATTAGCACAGATGTTGTCAAAGCCATCAAAGAACTGGGCGGATCCCTCACAGCCATCATCAAGATTCTCGAGCAACGTACTCAAAGCACTCCGAAGACCAGGTGGGCCATCATCCGCGCCATCAACAGGATGTTCGGATGTAGTTGCGACGCCTCAACAAACGGAAACCCCCGTGTGCAGTTTTTGCAGGAGGATGGTACGTTTGTCCCCGATCGTCTGTCCCAAGCCTGAGAATCGCAAGACGCGCAAGCTCCCGCTAACCAACCGTTTGCTCTGGACCACAGCACGCATAGAACTGAAGCACTTCACGGGATTGACGCCGCTCTTGGTGGCGCATTTTCGTTTGCGCAATGACTCCCGCCGGTAACAATACCTTTCCAATTACCCTCCATCACCCGACCTCGTCCCTGAGCCCAGAATCCAGCACTAATGCACCACCAACCTGCAGTCAGGAACTCAAGCACGCGGTCGACGGAGCAGCTGATGGCTCCGAAAAGACCACTCTGCCCTGGGCAAATATTCGGCCTCAAAGCGTCGGCTATTGGCAACCCAGCGATGCACGACGACGCGCTGGCCCGCGACCTCAGACGCATCGATCGATGCTATGACAGGATGCTGGGGGATATCGACGAGCTCAAGAACACGCTAGAAGCTCAATCACAACAGAGTCGTCGTCGCCCGGGGGCTTTCGGGCGGAAGTGGGGTCGCAAGGGCTGTTTGGTCGAGAAGAGAGCGAGGGCCGAGATTGAGAAGGAATGGATCGAGAAGACGGAACGCGACATCGAACGCAATGAGAAGATTGAGAGCAAGGAGATGGATTATGACTCTCACTGGTCATGACTGGGAATGAGGTTGGTCGAGTCTTAGCTACTTCCTTCATAGGCCGACTTCTTGTGACTTTTGGCAACTTCGATGCACCGTTGCGGTAAGCTCCAGGAGGCTCAGAATGCTAGTAATGACACGATGCAGTTATAACATCACCGTCAAAGTGTGTTGCAGTGAACTTTGAGCTTGCTTGAAAGCATCTCATTGTGTCATTGCCATATGCTGCAAAGCACTCCATGTACTCCGTGGCAGGCAACAAAAGAACCATATCAAGCAGTTCCATCCTGCCATCCAAGTGATTATTACCATTTTGCTGTGTATTTGCTTACTACCGGATGGAGTAACGTTAAGCCATTTCTCATAAGGCAGTCCTTAACCAGGGCTGACAGGTGCTGCCAGCGGGCATCGTACCCCTCCCCAATCCCCATGCAAGGGACAGGGTGGAGCCCGGGCAACCTTATTTTGAGGGTCCAAGATATCGAATGGCATGGCAGAAATTCGAGGACCGAAAAAAAAGGCGGTGTGTCGCAACGTCGAGTAAATCACCCAAAATTTTCTTTGCGACAGCCGCGCTCCTGCCTCCCGACTCGCCTTCTTTGAACGACTAAATTCATGGCCAAACTGACCGTGTTCCGTAAACTCGAAAATCAAAGATTTCAGTGACTTTACCCCGCAGAAATCTGTTCATGTCTGGACCACCAGCGTGGCTTTTCTCCAACAATTCTGCACCTATCACTCACAAGACACCGGTCACGAGCGCAAGTACATCTGCAATGCCTAAAAAAACCAAGCAAGCCGCAGTTGGCGGCTCACAGAGAAAGGCCGCGGCCGCTGGCAAGTCGCCTGTCGGCAAGGCGCCCGTGTCCATGTCGCCGCCCGCGCAGCTCATGGATCTCGTTGAGAATTTCCTCTCCGAGCACGACTTCGCCGACGCCCATAGCGCATTCACCAAACAGCGGGCCAAGAAAGGCTGGAACAGGGACGAAAGTAAGACGGCCAATGCTGGAAACCATTCCCTTGTCTCCGTCTTCAAGACCTGGGAGACCTCTCTGAGCAACCCGGCCGACGGAGCGGGCATCAAGGCTGCTGTCGAGCACGTTACCAAAGTTAGCAGCAGCAGTGACGAGACTAGTAGCAGCAGCAGTGATTCGGAGTCTTCAGAGAGCGAGGACGAGGAGGACGCCGATGTCGAAATGGAGGATGCCGGGGCAGAAGCGTCGAGCTCAGAGTCCAGCAGCAGCAGCGAGGACAGCGAAAGTGAGAGTGAGAGTGAGGATGACAGCGAGGAGGAGGAAAAGACGGCAAAGCCAGCTGCCAATCCCTTGAAGCGCAAGGCTGCGTCTCAGAGCAGCGACTCATCAGACTCCGAATCTTCCGATTCCAGCTCCGATGAGGAGCCCCCGGCCGCCAAGAAGCAGAAAATCGCCGTTACCACAGCGCAAAGCGAGTCATCATCCGAGCCGTCTTCCGAATCATCTTCTGAGTCCTCCGACTCCGACTCCGACTCCGACTCTGAGTCTGAGTCGGAGACCGGCAATGCCAAGGTAATCAAGAAGCCGACTGGGACGACGAAGGAGAGCGCATCCTCCGGATCGTCATCGTCGTCCTCTGAATCTGAATCAAAGTCAGAGTCCGAATCCGAGTCTGAATCCGAGTCCGAAGGTGAAGACGAAGTCGAGGAGGCGGCGAAGGTTCCCCTTCCCGAGTCTGATGCCAACTCATCCAGCGACGACGCATCCTCCTCTTCGACCGACTCCGATTCATCTTCCGATTCTGACTCCGAGGCTGAGACCGAGACCAAAAACAAGACCAAAGACACCAAGTCGACGTCGCCGGTAACCACCGGCAACCACTCCTCCTCGGACAGCTCTGCCACGCTTGACAAGACCTCGCCCAAACTCTATCCCGTCGACAAGTTCGCACCGCTTCCGCCCGACCCGGCGACGGTCAAGGCCAACAACCGCGGCAAGAACAACAACAACAACGGCAATGGCAATGGCAAGACGGTAACCACGCCCTTCTCCCGCGTCAACCGCAACATCCAAGTCGACCCGCGCTTCGCCTCCAATGCCTTCCAGGGCCATGACTGGGGCCGCAAGGCCCATGAGGACCTGGCTGTCACGCGTGGCAAGGGCTTTACCAAGGAGAAGAACAAGAAAAAGAGGGGCAGCTATCGCGGCGGACGCATCGATACCAACGCCGTGGGCGGCATCAAGTTTGAGGACTAGGCGAGGTGATTTCGTGCTGGGTTGGTTCAACAGAGTACCGATAGTACTACATTATACCCTATAGCAAGGCGGCTGGTTGCTTTATTGAGACGGGGATATAGGAAAAGGCATAGCAAAGGAGTACGTACCTTCTCCGGGATGAAGATAGCAGAAGATCAAGACGCTGTCCGGTAGACGTATCCGGCGATAACGCAGTGGCATTTCACGCTGTTGTATGTTTGGCAGGCGTCGTTCACAGGCACGTTCCTCTGGCATAGGTCTGCTCGCCACTATGGCATAGCCTGGCGTAGAGACGGCCTTCAAGGTTGTCATTGAAGTTCGCTTCGATGACTCAGCTTACGTAGTGTCATCGCACGGACTGAGCGATGGCATGAGCTTGGAGATTCCAATTCTGAATCTCAGCACTGAATTGTCGCCTTGAAATCAAACAGTGAAGTCCATGGTTAGACCGTTCTTTTCAGGTTGTAGGGAAAGGGAGATTAAGGAGAAAGATTAAATCAGGACTCATAGACCTCAGCTAGGATCATGAATCAGGTATGGATCGGTTCCAGAGATGTAGGTAGACTGCAATGTGGCACTCTGCTCTTGCCCCTATTGAAAATCCTAGAAGATGGAGTGAGATCTCACAAGGACTGGCACGCAGAAACAAGAGAGTAAGCAACTTCCATGTCAGAGGAGTGCAGAGTGGAGAGCCGTTCCAGCAAGGCAGACAGCGTACTTTAGAGTTTGGATAACGATCATCTTCTCCGGTGTCGAGGACTATCTCCGAATCTCAAGCGCGATGATACTAGTACTATCAGTTCGGCACTGAAGCCAACACTTTGAACCACCCGCCCGGCGCCCTGCATACATGTATCAGATGGGGAACTGCCAGCCAAGGAGACAGGCATTCTGCCGAGGAACGAGAGGCTGATAAAGTGGCCCAGACTACGCCAGTGGTTTTTATCATCGAGATTTATCAGAAGAATCTCTATTCGTACCGTAGGGTTTTTCTTCCCATACCGTAGCCCCACCAATTTTCGCTCACCGCCTTCTACATTCGCTCACCGCCCACTACGCCGCATACTGCATACTGCATTCAGCGCAATTGGCAATTTGAACCATTCCATATACACAACTGAGCTCAATTGAACTGAGCTCAATTGAGCTGAATCTAGCTATTGGGCACCATGTTCGCGAAATCGCGTGCGATTTTCCTAGCTGACTAAGCTGTCTGACTAAGCTGTGTCCTGCCCAGTGCCCTACCCTGCCTACGCCCTGCCCTCCTTCGCCGGCGACAACGTTGTTCGCAATGTTGTTGTCGGCGTTGTTGCCTTAGGAGGCTGCCCTGCTAGTGCCTCTAGTATACACGCCCTCTGCCTCTACTATACGTATCCAATTGACTGGCGACGGCGGTGTCGCTGTTGCTGTTGCTGTTGCTATCGCTATCGCTGTCGCTAAATCGCTGTTGCTGTCGCTGTTGCTGTCGCTGATGTAATTGCTGTATCGCTGACGTTGTCGCTGTCGCCGTCGCTGTTGCCGTCGCTGTTGCTATCGCTGTCGCTATCGCTGTTGCTACCGCTGTCGCTGTCGCTTGTTAACTGCGCGATCTTGATGGCAAGAGAATTGAAGGTGGGAAGGTTGAAGGATTGAATATGGTGGAAAAGTTGTGATGGGAAAGTTGAAGCGGTTGCAGTATTGATGGAAAAGGTAGGCGGTGGGCGATATGTGCGGCAGTATGGTGGGGCTACGGTATGGGAAGAAAAACCCTACGGTACGAATAGAGATTCTCTTTATCAGAGGTGTTGGACTTGAAATGCCTAGCCACTGCATTCATACCTTACCAGACCTACTGCAGCTCTGGTCACGCCGCATGCGAAGGCCTTGTTTCAAATACGCTCAGTGACTGCCCCATTGCAGTTCGTGGTGTAGAGCTCGTGTTTGCGAGTCAGTTCTTGCCATGGAAAGTAAGGCTTAATGCAGTGATGCTAGGACTGAAGACCAAGGCGTTTCCGCAGGCATTGAGCCAAGCTGGGGGTTATGATTGGGGTATGCGACGGCTGCTGTGTGGGCTCCTTGATGACTGATCGAAATTCGAAGCTAAATAGGTAATCTTAGACCTACTAAGCTGTGATCACAGCTGTGGTACTAATTCGAGCTCTGCGGGCCTGGACGAAGCATACCTATGTATCATCCGAATCATCTCTGACTCTGATTTTAACCTGGATTACTGAGCGGTCTTTGAAACTACTTCTACTCTTAGGGCCAAAGGTGCTACCTTTCAACCTTTGGTTATCAAGAGGAGATAGATTCCGGCTTGTGATGATCAGGCTTACCAACCAACATATGCAGATTGTAGAGCGGCCCCATCCGGGCCATGGTCATCCAAATAGGTAACTGCCTTGGGCGCTTGGGCGGAGAAAGTATTTAAGAAGATGGGCGGTGGTTGCCAGCGAACGGACTCAACGGAGGCCGTACGGCTGAAGGAAGAAAGCCCTGCCATTACTTAACGCAGATCCCTTTCCCTCCGATCATCCGACGAGATGCGTCTGCCCGGGACCGGTTACTCAATCGGCCAGCGGCCGCAGTGAGTCGGCCGGCTTATGAGGTGAGTCCGCTGGCTGCAAGTGGAGGAATCAGGAGGATACATTGTGGCTGGCACGGAGGGCATCAGCCACGATCCATAAGCTCGTGATCCAAAATTCGCACTCACTCATCAGTACGAAGTACCTTAGCCAAGAGCCTGTAAATTCCCCTCTCACAGTGAAACTACGAAAAGTCGTGTGGATGCCTAGGACCCTAGGTTAACAGCATTCAAAGCTAATCTCTTAGTCAAGGTCTCATCACTCCAGGGGATTCGCAATACAGCAACTAAAACCATCAGAGGTTGTAAACTCAGAACTTTCATGGTGTTTTTCGTCCATATATCGGTCATTAGGTGCAGTGTACGAAGTACGAAGTACGGTATCTGTACGAAGACGGTGAAGAACTTCCGTGCAGTTATCCGTAGTTTCAGTGCGCCACAGAGTCAGCCCTGTCGGAGTGGGAGGGGTTGTGGGATGAACCGTACTAATCCTGATATGGACTAGCTCATTACCGGTGGGCATGGCTTGGAAGTACATAGCTCCGTACTGCTTGTGGCAGCCGGCACCTTCCTGATGTGCCTATTCACACCTGACTTCATCTGTCATCGGTTGCTCAAACTCACCGTGAGGTCGCCCAGGGGCTGCCTAGAGGGGCCGTATATGCTATCGTGACTTTCGAGCATAACCTCATTCTTATATCAGAGGTTTAAATACTAGGTCAAGCCGAGCTGCTCCAAGCATCACTTGCCGTCCCTCACCTTTCACTCACGCGCCCCTCGGCATAATCTGACAACTCACTCGCGCCTCCTGAACTCTTACTCCATCCCGCTACATTTTGCGTCGCTTCTCGCAAGAACGCCCCCTCTATACGCTCCCAGACTGCCGCTGTCGACAAAGGACACGGCCTCGCGCGTTCTCACTCCGTTTTCCGTGCCCGACAATCGCTGTACAGCCGACAAGACTCCATTCATGGGTACATTAGACAGTCTGGGGCCCCCAGATTCTAACCACAATGGGGACGAACTTTCACCAAACCTTGAGCAAGTGTCCATTAACACAACCAAGGCATACCGTCGAAATCGCCTTGCCGAGCTCATGACTAACTGCTTCCACGGCAGATCCCCGGAGAAGACCAGGAAATTCGGGGATCTAGTGGAGCATGATGTCGTGCGGGCACACGAGGAGACAGTGGCTAAGCGCTTGAGACAGAACTATCGGAGAGAGTTGGGCCGGCGCATCGATACCCTCTTGGATTTCTCTGTCACCCCTAGCCCTCGAAAACCTGAGCGGTCAGATATCGACGACCATGCCATAGGGAGATCCGAGAAAGCCAAGGTGGAGTATGCGCTTCAGAAAGCAAAGGAATACGACTCCCTGCGCGAGGAAATTACTCGGTACGAGCGCGCTCTTGGGTTCGAGTTCGCCTGCACCAGTAAGGCCAACGACCTCGAGGTCCAGGCCAATCATATCATGCAGGAGCTCAAGAAGATGGACGTCGAGTGGTTCTATAAGCCAGCCAAGCCAAAGATTGGCTATCACGGCCAGGAGCATACCAGATTCTACGGAGACCACTTCCTTTCCAATCTTGACATAATTGAGCGGACACAACTCTTCGCTCTTTGCCGGGCCATGCCCAAGGGTGCGCATCTCCATATTCACTTCAACGCCAATTTGCTGCCCAACTTCCTGCTCGATATCGCCAAAGACATGGAGCACATGTTCATCTGGAGCAACATTCCTCTGGAAGACGTTTCCGCACTCAACCGGTGCAGGATACAGTTCAGTATCATGAGCCAAGATACGGCAAAGAGTAGAGGCGAAGGGAATCTCTTCGAAAAGACTTATAAAAGCCAGCAGGTGATGCGCTACAAAGACTTCAGGTCCCAATTTCTGCAACACTACTGGGACCATGTGGATGTCGATACTTGGCTCCAGACCAAACTAGTCTTTCAAGAGGAAGAAGCCCACAACATGCTCCAAACAGCTGAGGGGTGAGCTTGACGTCGAGTCGCAGAGGACCCCGTGCCATGGCTGACGCGTTTGCAGGGCCTGGGAAAAGTTCAACGCCCGAACCCAAATGATGAAAGGGCTCTTTAACTACGAAACGGCCTATAGGAAATACACCCGCCAATGCCTGGAGGAATTCAAGGACGACAACATCCAGTACGCTGAGATCCGGCCAAATTTCATGTCAACAAACCAAGTCTGGAGAGATGACGGCTCAAGCAAGATGGACAATGAGGGTATCATGGACCTTATTATCGCCGAGTACAAGGCCTTCCAGGACACCCACCAGCGAATAGTGGTAAAGGGGCTTAAAATCATCTACTGCACGCCCCGATCCTTTAACAACGACCAGGTGGCATTGGCCTTGAAGGAGTGTCTTGACTTCAAACTTGACAAGAGGTTTTCGGGTTACATTGCCGGTAAGAAACAGCACGTTACGGTGTAGTATTTCAAGGAACCGTTCTGACCGCAATTCCTATAGGCTTCGATCTGGTTGGGGAAGAGGCCAAGGGCAAGCCGCTCAAGGCGTTCAGGGCCGAATTTCTCGAGTTCAAGCGACTTTGCGCTGAGGCGAAGGTGGAGATTCCCTTTCTGTTTCATTGCGGCGAAACACTGGACATTGGCACTGAGACGGACGGGAACCTCGTGGATGCGGTGCTCCTCGGTTCGAAACGGATCGGCCACGGTTTCGCACTGCCCCGGCACCCATACATCATGGAGCAGATGAAGAAGCGCAACGTCTGCATCGAGGTCTGCCCAATCTCGAACGAGATCCTCGGCCTGACACCGCGGATAAGCGGCCATTCAATGTACAGCCTCCTAGCCAACGACGTGCCGTGCACCATCAGCACCGATAATGGCACTTTGTTCAGGTACAAAGCTGATCACACATTCAATGGTCCTCGGCTCTACTGACGCCTCGATTTTTTTTCTCTAGGTCACGTCTCTCGCACGATTTCTACCAGGTTATGGCGGGCAAGTCAGACATGACGCTCCACGGCCTGCGCCAGTTGATTGAGTGGAGTATCGAGCACTCTTGCATGGAGCCCGACCTGAAGCAGGAAGTCCGCCTGGACTGGGAGGGGAAATGGCAGCAATTCTGCCAGAGAATCGTCAACGGCGATTTCTCCTTCTCAAAGCCGGGTGGGATAGACCAGAAGGGTTCTAGACTTTGAAGCCGATTCCTTTTTTTCCCCCTTTAGTTTGCAGTTGCATTTGGGTTGCGGGATGAAAGCGAAATGTTGTTCAATGAGGTTGACGAGGGCAATGATGAGTGCTTGTTGCCATTATACCCTATCCGCTACACATGGCTCTTGGATGTTTGGAGATTTTTACGGGTGGGCTGGGCATGGATCTTGGATAATGTGTCCTTCTTTCCCCTTTTTCTATCCTTCTCCTTTCTGCCTTGGTAAATGAGTTTACCAGCTTAATGGTTCGCACACAATGAACACTATCCAAGAACCGTTGTTCCCCATCTTACAGCTCCCTTCTCCAAAGCCTCGAGATCTGTCCATCTGTGTGTCCCGGTAGGTTCTCAGCGCGAGCCTCGCGGAAATACTACGATGGCACCCTGTTCGCTTCCGGATGCAGAACCGCGGCGGGGCTCATGCAAGCCCAAGCACAGCGATGAGCAGCCATTTTCACCCGGTGGTGGCGGTCGCTGGGTTGCTGGCGAACCACGACAGCCCTTTCCGCCCTTGCCAGGCGGCTCCTGATCTTCAGATCTTCACCACCTACATTTACGTGATGGTCGAGACCACAATCTGGGAAGTCTGCCGCGGCAGACGCGGTACGGGAGAAAAGTAATGAAGAAAAAGAGTGGGCCTGGTTCCGTCGCGCCAAGAATTATGTATAATCACAGCCCGTTCAGCCCGTTCAAGCAGACTTCAGCCTGACCACGCCAAACACGGCTGCTGGCCTTCTATGACCTCCAACTTTCTCTGTCTTGCTGGATAGCAACGGTTCAAAACAGCTCACTTATTATAGCCTATTGGTCTTTAACTTTATCCACCCTTTGGTCGTCACGGTTGAGCCCCATGCCCTCAGAAGGGGTTGATAGCCCCACGGGCATCCTCGCCTGGTAAGAGCTTCCCCACACCTGATATACCCAAAACTACAGCAGAGAAACTAACCGATGAAACTTCCTGAAATCATTCAGGTTTCCCCAGGGCCGCCAGGACTTGCCTGGATGGCGGTTCGACGTCATCACGCTTCTGGCCGTCATCGGCGAGTCGAGCGTGGCCGAGCACGCCCAGACGCTAACGGCATCGTCGCTGTGCCTGCTGCCGCGCATCATTCCGGCCCCGCAGGCGCTGCTGCGCGCCAACCGCCCGCCACGCCTGCCCGAGGTGACGGCCAAGATGACGGGCGTCTACGGCGGCACCAACCTCGACACGGTCGGTTTCTTCGCCAACATCATGCACCCCCTGAGCGACCTGAAGGCCTTCTCCTTTCAGGTGCTCGAGATCAAGCATGCAGCCTCCGTCCGCCCCATCGGAGCGCGTGCAGGTAGTACATCGCATCAGACACGCAAGGGGTTGCGGAGCTGGGTTGCATGGGGCAGGAAAAAAGTGACGACGTCGTTCGGGAGTGATGCTAATGGGACGAATGCGGCTGTTGAACTTGCGGATGTGGGTGCCAAGGGCAGGGCTACCGGAGCGCAGCAATCGGTTCACTTCGCCGAGGAGGACCCTGAGCGGGTGATTCCTGGCCTAGGTCCCCCCAGGCGGACGGGCACCGCCAGGTCAAAGTTCACAGACGTTGTGACCAATCCGACCATGGTCAACAAGGAGGAGAGCTATTCCGTCCCGCCGTCCTACTATTCGCCTGTCCACATGATCAGCGTCTTCTCGTTCCTCTTGACCGTCGGCGTCCTGGTAGCTGCCGGCTTGTGGCGGGACGGCACCGCCGTCTTGGCCATCTGTCTCATCAGCCTCGCCGGCAGCGTCATCTGCTACGCCTCACTGTGGCAGCCTGTCCTTATGCAACGACGGACAAGCAGCCAGGTGCCCCCGGGGGACGTGGTGATCCGCACACGCGCGGGCGCGTTCTTGCTCATTCGATGCACCGAGGAGGTGGCTAGGGAACTCTACTCGGGCACGGAAGAATGCGAGTACGTCAGCAAAACATACCACCGCGCCTTCATGGGCTTGGGCATGGTTCTTCTCATGGTGTCGGTGGTGCTGTTGGGAAACTGCACGTGGGAGTCGCAAGTCTTGGTGGGATCTTCGTACATTATTCTCAACGGGCTGTACTGGCTCATGGGTCTACTTCCGCCGCGGTACTTCTGGGATCTGAGCCGCTACGACGTCAGGGACGTCACGCCCGGGGATGCAAAAAATGCCGAGATGAGTGAAAAGGACGACCCCCACGAGGGTACGGCCTCGTTCACGCGCACGCTGTGGTATGCTATCCGGGAGACCAAGCACGTCGCTTGGGCCGAAAGGAGCGGCGCTCTCCCGGGCACCGAGCAATGGAAGAAGTGGTTAAGGGAAGCAAGAGACGCAGCATGGAACAATAACCGGAAATGGGAGGCAGTCAAGAGGAAGAACGAAATCATGAAGGAGGACCTCGATGCCCCGTCCCCGGTTGAAGTTGATCAAGCCGCTCAGCAGGTGCCGCTACTCCAGGTGCAGCCGCCACCTCGCGGAGATGGTCAGGGGACGGGCATCTGAGCTTTTCAGCAGGAGACTGCTTATATCCATACAATCTTGGATGATGATGGTAATGCCCGGCTTGGACCTGATCGCATTGATGTTTTGGCTACACCGTGGCGCGGGCTCATAGTTAGCAGTTCAATGATTCGGCTCATACAAAGGTATCTACAGTATCCCTTTATTAATAGGTAATTATCAAGTGTCTGAAATGCAAGGAGAGCAAGAGAAGTGTGAACCTTGACTGTGATACACGACACACTTACAATACAATCCCAAATAGAAACAGGCAAGGATTTGCACCAGAATATGGCTCGATTACTCTGTCAAAGCCTTGCTGTTGTTCTTATTAGGGGCGCCGTTTCCGTGGTTCTCCTGTAGTAATACTGAGCAAGTTTATCACCGTTGGGCATTACGTTATTTCCGGGACGGGCCGAGCCTGCCAGGTCGTTGCTTTGAAGGTGGGATGGCTAGAATGGGATGAAAGGTGGTGCACGGGGCAGACCGGGAGGCGGGCCCCGGAGCCATCGAGCTGGGCCGGAATGCTTCGGGACGACGATCACCTAAAAACCGTTGCAGTGCAACAAGAATCTGACATTTCGACGCTCAAATTCCGCTCGACGATGCCAAGTAACAGCGCAACTCCTACATAAACTCTCTGAGAGCAAGAACGCTGCAGCCGAAACTCTGTTCTTTGGGAGGCGCACTAGCGGAGTCTCGTACTGTGGAGGCGGCCAGGGACTTAGGTATTACGATCTGGGTAGGGATGATCAACCGAGTGACTCACAAACTCAATTCCTTCCCCGGAGCTTGTTGCGATGGTGTTTACTGTGGTATTGCTTGGTTCGCTCCAATTGAGCCTTCTGATTCGCCGAATGTGAAATGCTTGGGACGAACCGCCAAAGCAAAAGGTACAGTACACTATGTACGGATAATCCATTTACAACTGTAGTCGCATTGGGAAAGGGATACGGACAGAGGCGGAGCAATGTGCGCAGTTAATATAACGCTGCAAACGCGATCTCACCCGGAACCTTGCCAAATTTTGCGCCGATGAAGCCCTAGTGGTATTTTACATAACAACCACCGTAATCATTCCCAGTTTTCGCAAGATGTTGCGCGTCCAGAAGGTCTCAAGAAGGGGGAGTTGCGTAGGCCTACCACGGGGTCAATGTTGAGGACCCGTGGCCTCTTACAGGGCTCAAACCAATAGAGCTCGTCATCAGTTGCTATTGCGACTGTTTTTGCGAAAAGTCCAGCTTGTTCCAACCGATGAGGACAAATCTTCAGTTTTCGCCCGGTGCCGTCTCAGCCGGCGACGCCCGCTCGGACCGCAATCCCAATTGCGCCCTTGGAGCGACTTGTCGCGTAAGCTAGCATGCACCGTCCTCGTTTTGCGCAATTTCATGGACAGGCTAGCGCTACACCTTATTGGCAGACACGCTTCAGATGGGGATTTGTGTGGGGCAGTGCTGCATGCCCCCGTGTGCCGCCTGGGCGGCACCAACAAGAAAAGCGAACCAGCACGGAGTGTGTGCCTTGCTAACCAAGACAAAAGTCCTCGACTTCGTTAACGTTAATACAAGTCCCATCTCTATTGTTCAGTGCTTAATAGCGATCAGGCTTTGGTTTTGACAAGAACATTGAGGCAGCGAAGAACTTGGCGCTGTTGAGACCATGGACCCCTGCTTCAATAATGAGCCTACATGTGAAGTATCTCGAGAACACGAGTGTTGAGATATTAGGCTAACGTTTGAAGGGCCCCAACTGTAGGTATTGTACAGTACAATACCTTATTTTTTGGAGTTGCACTGCCTAGAGGCTGTGACTCATACTTGCCGTTTGGGGTTGACCGCGGTATTAAGCGAATAAGAGCACAGCAACTGGGGCCAGCGGCTTGCGATGCCCTGCGTGGCCTGTGCACATCCCGCACCTTTGCGCGCGCATTCGGCCGTCGCTGCCTGATTGAAAAGTCTTCCACTGCCCACCTTTTTTGCTGCCTTTTCCTTCTCTCCTTCAACCCAAAATATCCCCCCTTACACATATTCAAGAGTTATCAAGAGGCATCTATCAAGATGCGTTAAAGCGCCCCCTTCCCCGCGTTTTCTGACTTGCTCTCGCAAAGCCGTCAAAATTCCTTCTCCGCAATTTAACACGTTCTCCGCTCAACCATCCATCTCAGCTCTTCCTGCAAAGGTTGAACTGAACTTTGGCACTCAGCTTTCTAGCTCGCGCTCAAGTTCTTACCGCAACACCGCCGCCATTCCCGGCCCAGACTTCTCAGTCTTCACCACGGCTTCCAATCAGTCATCATGGCTTCCCTCCAGTTCCCCGAGCCTGCCGGCACCATCCGCGCATCAGCAACAGCTTCCGCATCTGGATTTGCCGCTTCATCAACAAGACTTCGTCTTGTTCGATCAGCCGATCAAGCAACACCGTCAACCTAACTGCCGCTCTGTCTCGCAACCTTCCGCCAACGGAGGTGTGAATCTGCATCAGCAACCTCGTAGTCAACCTCTTTTTCCGCTGCAGGCCTCTACGTCGCCGTCTCTGCAGAACCAGCGAGTTGCAAACACCATCCAGGCCACAGGGCACCAAATATCTTCTTCGGCTTTCACCAATCGGTTTAGCTCCCGTGCGCAGAACCCTCTCAGTCAACAGTTCTACGCTACATCTGCACCATCTTCGTCTGCTGCTTTGAGCTTGCAAAAGCAGAACGTGCCTGCCCGACCGCCGGTTCCTCTTTTTCAACAGAGCGCTGGTAACGTAACCCAAGGCAAGATGAATATCGAAGGTAACCTCCTCTCTACCCCACGAGTTCCTCATAGTCAACAGCGAGGCTCACTATGCCCACCAGGCCTGGACTTGGACGACTTCACCGCTTTTGAAGGTGGAGCTTCCACCACGGCGTATTCTTCGCCCGCTCTTCCGACCGGGTTTGACCTCGGCGGGAGTGTGTCGAGTTCAACGACCAACATGGGCACTGTTTCCCCGCAGGACCTTTTGGTCCACGACCCGTTCATGTCGGCGCCGAACTCGACTGCTCTGACCGCTCTTACTTCGCCGTCCATCTATAACGAGTCGCCCGATTTTGGCGACAATTATGATGTCTCGCCAAATTTCTCAGGCGGCGATTTCGAGGGTGGCATGGGTGGTGCTTGGTTCCCACTCTTCCCACCGACCGATCCCGAACCCAAGTCGGCGCAGAAGCCCGCCAACCCAGACAGCTCGCCCGCTTCCAACTCGGATGATCTCGAGGTGGTTGAGTCCACATCAGGCAGCCATCGCCGCAAGTCTTCGGCTAACTCTCCTGGGTCTGGTCGCCACTCCTCTGTCGCCGGTGTAAGTTCCCGCCGGCGTGATAAGCCCCTCCCTCCCATCATCGTCGACGATCCGACAGATGTCGTCGCCATGAAGCGCGCCCGCAACACGCTCGCTGCTCGCAAGTCTCGCGAGCGGAAGGCCCAGCGCTTGGAGGAGCTAGAGGAAAAGATCGCCAAGCTTACAGCCGAGCGTGACCACTGGAAGAACATGGCATTGGCCCATGGTGCAAAGGAGTAAATCATTGGCAACTTTGGCTTCGTCGGATGACATAGTATCCCTCAGTGTTTTGTCTCAACGCCGAGGAGGGGTTTTAGTCCCGTTCTTTTTTTCCATATAATCCTGTACCATGTTATTTGTTTAGTTCCCTCTGCCTGCATCCTTGATGCGTTCTGGTTGGGGATTGGCGTGTACTTTTCCATCAGTGTCTCTTAGGACTGGAATTATCACATTTCCTGCTTTGAACTCTTTCGACGTAGTCATCAAGACATTGGGTTCAATACGTGACTAGTCGGCAATGTTTTGGAATGTGACCCGCGACCCTCTTTGACCATGGGTTGAAGTCAACGCCCTCTCAAGGGACATGTTGATTGCCACACTGAGCTATAGATGCTCGCTCAAACAGAGTGTGTACATGCCACGCATTTCTTTGAAGCGCCCATGCAAGTACTGTAGTCAGGCTTCATCCAGTAGGTGTCCGTGTTATAGGGACTGAAAGTGACGACGAAGGCTGGCGTCACAGCTCCTGCAAAGCAGCCCCGGGGACTGAAGATTTGAGGTAGACCAGTTGAGTGTCAACAACCTCAATCACTCACCATCTGTTAAGACGAGAAGAAAGCGGGAGATCCAGCGCCCACGTCCATATCAT